AGTCACCCAACCTGCTGAGCAGGGAGGCTGCTGGACACCAAAACAGTAAGATTCAACAAAAAAGTGTGCCAAAGGAATGTCACCTGGAGGAAAAAAATCTCCCATGCTTTCGCAGAAAGCAACATAGTCCAGCAAGGCCGCCACATAACCTGACAGCTGACACTGACAGAGGAGATAAGAGGCTCTATGCATGGTTCCAAGAAAATGCCTGAGGAGATTTAATTGACCTTGTTAGATAGTAAGAGGTTAATTTTATGTAATATAGGTCTCAACATAATTTGGTCTTTTTTTTGGTATCGGGGATCGAACTCGGGTCTTTGCGCTTACGCAGCAGGCAGCAAAACTGCTGAACTAAATCCCCGGCCCCTAACTTGGTCTTAAACACCCAGTAGAAAAGTATAACTAAAGATAAAATATATGCAAATTCAACAAGAGTTTTAAGTCTTTTAGCTAAAATTGTTTTTAAAAAAATTATTAATTTTTAATCTTTTTACAGCCAAAATTAAGAAAAATTATGAAAAAAATATATATCTGACATATAGATAATCTCCATTTAGTAGAGGGTCTACGAGTCAACAAGTTACATTCACTATTTTAGTCCCTTAAAAACAGTTTCTAGGGTTAGCCCAGTGATTCCACCACCTGCCTCGCAAGCACAAGGTCCTGAGTTCGATCCCCAGTACCAAAAAAAAAAGTTTCTAAACATGCTTCTTTTCCCAAACTACCCTTTTTATTTTTAGTGCTCATACTTTGACTATGCATGCTGTAATCTCTTTTTAAAATTTTCTTTTGCGGGGCCAGAGATTTAGCTCAGTGGTTCCACCGCCTGCCTCGCAAGCGCAGGGATCCGAGTTTGATGCCCGGTGCCAAAAAAAAAAATTTTTTTTCTTTTGCTTATTCTTTCCTATAGACTGCCAAATTCCAAGTGATCATACAGATAATATCAACAACAAATATGCTAGACACTGCTTTACCAATATCCATCAGATGTAATTTATAAAGACGGTTTTCATTGCTAATTTATAACATGGTTTTCATTTAAGGCCCATTACATTAGCTCCCTAGAAGAGGCTCCTGTCTGTGGTCTTCCCTACATCAACCCTTCTCAGCTTGAAGCAGTTGGATGAAACCTGCGCCTCTTCTCCCCTAACCGCAGTTGGGGACAGCCCTTTGAAAAAGAGATTATAGACAGCTGAGCCAGTCAAACACACTACAGTCCTCACAATACGTAGGGACAAGCCATTTTGTGCTCACTTTTCCCTAAAAGCACATTTGCATAAAACAAAAAAAGGGAGGGGGGAGATATGTCAGGAGGAATTCTACATGATTTGGCAGAAAAATCATTTCACAATTAAATGATTTTAGGGCCTAGTTTCCTGCCTACAGGTCAGCTACAGCATGTTGAGACATAACTCTGTTTTCGCCTGTGGTCACAGCTAGACCTCAATGGTCCAGTGATGCTGTGATGCTCCAGGACAAGATTACACCAAGTGAAGATATCCTGGGGAGGAACAAAATCTTCATGGCCATAGTTCCTCATTGTTCTAGGATTTTCACTGCTGCTGGCCTTTGAGTCACCTTTTACATTTGTTTCTCCTAATGTACTGAATAAAGGTGTGGGGTCTTTCATCTTTGGTGGTCAGAGCAGCACTGACCAGGCCCAAAGCTCAGCTTCTTCTCTAACTCTCATTTTTTCTATCTTTTCTGTCTAATAAGTTAATTCACCTTGTGCTGTTGTGGCTTGGAGGAGACTAGGTCTTTCTGCAGAGGTTCTAGTAATGTCCTCTTTCCCTGTTTCCTACAAACAGCTACTTCATAGATTTTAAAAAAGAAAAAGAAAAACACCCTTTTGTCTTTAGACATACAAACCAACTACTTATAGAATAGCTAAAAAACACATGAAAAATTCCTGGAACGTTTGGTTTTTTTGTTGTTGTTTTGCTTTTTTCACAAAGTTCTTTTTTCCTTTGAGATTATAATGAACATGGTCAAACCACAAGTAAGGTCAGAAGCAGGTCGGAAAATACTTCAAAGCGTCTAAGATCATTAAATATGGCTGATTCCTAACAATATGTACAAAAACATAAATGCAAATAAAAATATAAACAAATTATTCTTTTAAAAATACTTTGAAGGAAAAAAGCAGAGCCTTAGAAATTTTAGTTCTTTTTTCCTCCCCAGTTGCAAATTCATATTGTGGTTTGGTGGTGGAAGACACCTCCTGACGTCCACAGGTGGTGCTACCTGTGGTAGGCAGGTGGGGCTCTCCACTCCAAGGTGACTATGTTTAGATTCTGAGACAAGAAGTGGAGGATGAATAGGTCACAGTGACATTTTTAAGTTTACCTTTTCTTTTTTTGTTGTCTAGTTATCCTCACCAATCTTCTGCTTTTTGGTGTCAACATCATCAACCTTATCATCTTCCAATGCCCATTTGCCCATAGCTGCTTCAGCCTGCTCATCTCCATCCTGTACCTCCCCACCTTTGTCCTCTACTTCACTGTTGGCCTCCTGCTCCCCATTTTCCTCATTAGTGTTCCCCTTAGAAGGATGTCACTTCCATTTTCAGCCTCCTCCACAACTTCCTTCTTCATTATTTTTTTAAGTCGTTACTTTTTATTTTGAAGGATTTGTCAAACTCTTCACATCACGGAGAGTTTCCAAGATTAATAAGAAGCAGTTTTTCATGAAATGCTTCAAAGTGAACAAGTTCTCACCCTACCTTAGTCACTTTTTGCCTTCCTGGGACAAAAATAACCAACACCTGCAACTTAAGCAGGGAGAGGTTTATTCTGGTTTATGTATTAAAAGTCCTTGCATGGTTGGGCTGCCTGGTAGAAGGGCCTAGGTGGAAGAAAGCTGCTCACCTCACATTGGACTGACAAAGAGCAGAATAAAGGGAAGAGCTGGTGAAGGAGATAAACCCTTCTAAACTACACCCCCAGTAACCTCTCTCCCCCAACTACAGCCTGCCTCCCAACAGCAAATTGGTTATACTACTTCCATCATCCAGTCACCTTCCCAGAGTCCAGCCTATGAGTGCATAAGGCTTGGGGAATACATCTAGATATTCCACCCTTGGGGATTTCTTCTCAAAGTAAAGTCTTCCACTTTTTTTTTCTTTTGGTACCAGGGATCAGACTCAGGACCTTGCACTTGTGAGGCGGGTGAGACACCACTGAGCTAAATCCCTGGCCCAAGTCTTGCACTTTTGCAAGACAAAGGATGGGTCTTGCTGTTTTCTGACATGCCCTCAAGCCATTTTTCCTATTGTCCTGTTGCAAAGTACTTGTGAGGCAGGAGATGAGGGCATGGCAAAGCAGCTGGACCTGTTAGTCACAGAGATGCAGAACATGCATAGAAAAACTGCTACCAGCCCTGTATCTAGGACCAATCAGAGAGTGTTATCTTCAATTCTTATGAAAAATCAAGCAGAGTATACTTCTTTTCCTATTAGATGGTTGGTATCAATCTCTGCATGGATAATACCGAGAGATTGTGAATTCAGTTTTGGATATATTGAATTTGATGTGTGTGGTAAACACAATGGCCAAAGATATCCATGTCCTAAACCATGGAACCTGTAAATATCATTTTATGTGGAAAAGAGACTTTGCAGATGTGACTGAATTAAGAATCTTGAGATGGGGATTACCCTACATTATCCAAGTGCGCCCTAAATAAAATCTCAAATGTCCTTAAAAGAAGGAAGCAGAGAGAGATTTTCCTCCCAGAGGAACACTTGACTACAAAAAAGTAAGATTGGGAGGATGGAACCAAGAGTTTGGAATGTTGTGAAGAAGAGACCAAGGAACACAGACAAAGTTCTAAACGCTGAAAAGGGCAGGAAAACAGATTCTTTCCTCAGAGTCTCCAGAAGGAACCAAGTCTAATGACATCTGACTTTAACTCAAAGAGACCTTCAGACTTTTAGTCTACAGAATTGCTTGTTTGGTTTTTTTTGGTACCAGGGATGAAACTTGGGTCCTTGCGCTTGCACAGCAGGCAGCGAAACCACTGAGCTAAATCCCCGGCCCTATAGAACTGTTAAAAGAATAAATTTGTGTTGTTTTCAGCTATTAAATTTGTGGTAATTTGTTACAGCAGCAATAGGAAACTAGTGCTGAAATGCTTTGAAACATTTAAGAGGACTGGAGGTGTAAGCTCAGTGGTAGAGGTTTTGCCTAGCATGTGTGAGGCCTAGGTTTGATGTCCAGCACTACCAGGAAGAAGGAAGAAGGAAGAAGGAAGGAGGAAAAAAAAGAGATGTCAGGCAGGCAGGTGGAGATAAGAGATTGGAGGTGAGAGAAAAGGGCTGGGCTTGAGATATAAATTTGACCATCATATATATGTGGATGGCAGAGGAAGCTGGGGGAGAGCATAAGCACATATTAGCAGCTACTTCTTGTGCATATTTCAGCAAGGTACTTAACTTCTCTGACACATTATTAAGCATTTATTTTGTCCTGGCAATTTACATGCATTTCTTAATCCTTACAACCACTCTAAATGTTAGAAATCCATTTTTATCTCTTAGTTACAAAAAAAACCCCCTGAATTTAATCTGTCCAAGATCACACAGCACAAGCAAAACAAAATTAATCTCATTGCTTGAGACTCAGTTCTTGTAGCTCGAGTACCAAAAACACTGATGTGGTCTAAGAATTTGTAAGACCTACCTACTGAACTTTAACAAGATCCCCAGGTTATCTGTACATCAAGTGTAAGAAGTAGTAGACTGCAGCCCGCCTCCAGAGTGGGTTCTACTCAGGCAGGTGCAGCGCAGAGAACCTTACTCAGCATCCTAGCAACACATAACGGTTTCTACCTCTGTATCTCTGCTCCTGCCTTTCTCCACTTGGATTTCATATTTCACTTCAGGCACCCACAATGGCACTTCCGCAATATTCTCACGTACTTTATGTACTGCAACCAACAGATAACTGTCTCCTCCCCTAGCACTTTGAGCGTCTCTAGCATAAGACAGAATTTTTTCTCACCTGAGTATGCAGACGACCAGCCACAATTTGAATGGAAGTATGTATTAGAAAATAAATCTGCCGCCAGAGGCCCGCGCGCAGGCGCAGTAACGGCCTCCCAGGCTTGGCTCAAAACTAGCGGTGAAGAGATAGTGGGCGGCAAGTTTAAACGCCTCAACACAGCCATACCGACTGAGGGGCAGAGCGCATGCGCCTATTTCGCGGGCTCCACCTCAAAGATCCTTCTCCGCATGTGCGGAAGCTCAGCTGTGGCTCAATTGGTTGAAAACGCGCAGTGCTACAGTGATGGCGGCGCTCGGAACTGTAAGGGGTAGTAGCAGTTGGTTTTCGGCTTTGGCGCTCGGGGTGACTCTTCTCAAATGCCTTCTCATTCCCACCTAGTAAGGACTGCACGACCCTGGGCTCCGGGGGTGACCATGGGGGTGTCAGGGCGGGAGAAGGATGTGTCGATATTCCCAAAAGTGAGGAGGAAAGGGAAGTTTAGGTTGTGTAGGCGCCACTCTGCCTTTACTAAGCTTCCCGCTGCGCGGGTTGTAACTTGACCTGAGAAGTAGAATATAGCCCTGGCTAGCCACGTTCTGTCCTAGCGCTTTTTGACTTGAGGCAAGTCACTTTAAGGTTTCTGCGGCTCAGGTCCTCATCTTTCATTTGCAAATGAAAAAACCCTCATCCCAGCCTTTCTCAGCCGGTATTAAGAGTTGTAGGTGGCACCATATGGAGATACGATAGTGAGCAAGACATTTCTGGATCTCGTCCTCCGTGGAATTGATGGGAGCACACAAACAGGAAAGTTTCAGGCTGTATTAAGACCTATAAAGGATCAGGGCGTGGTAGCGCACTGTAATCCCCGCACTGTTCAAGATTGAGGCAGGAGAATCATGAGTTAGAGCCCACTCTGGGCAATTTATCGGTTTAGAGAGATCCTGTCTCAAAAAGAAAAAGAGAGACCTATAAAGGAAATGAGAATGACTACATGCAGGGTTTGTAGAAGGTGAGGTTTGAGTTAAAATCCAAAGTATGAAAAAGAATAAGCAATATGAAAAGGAGTTCATGCATAGGAAAGAGTAAGTGCAAAGGCCGTATGGTAGAAAAGAACTCAAGAGTATTCTAGGAACAGAGTGGCCCCATGGATGAAGAGCAGTAAAGTTATAAAGACCATGGTTAGATTGTGTGAAAATGAATGAAGGTCTGAGAATGAAAGCGCGGGAACAAGGAACTACCACGAAGTTATGTAGTTTCTGCCTTCTCTTCATTGTTCCTTAGTCTTGTATTTTTTTTTAATCCTCATTCTTTTTCTCCATTCTCTCCAGGCCCTCCTTCCTAGCTCAGGGTTTAGTTTATGGCACTCTTCTCATGCAAGCTCTTGATGATCTCTTATACATTTTTGTGTTTTTTTTGGTACTGGGGATGGAACTTGGGACCTTGCGCTTGTGAGGCAAGCAGTGGAACCACTGAGCTAAATCCCCGGCCCTCTTGATGATCTCTTGTTGGGTGTGAAAGAGCTGTTATGTATAGAATGTATGTCCAAACTGATTATATAAGCCTTTTAATATAAAGGTTCAGTAAAGTAACATGCAGACGCGGGAAAAGAAGGGATTGGTCAATTTGAAAAGGGGGTATTGAACAGCAGAAAGTATAGCTGAAGAGTAGGAAACATCTTTCTGTTTTAAAATAAATTGGAAAGAGCATTCTAAAATGTAAGAAATTCCTTACACAGAATGAAAGGGAACCTTTTTGTTTTAAAAATATAAGTCTGTATGAGATGATGTTTCTTACTTCAGTTGCTGCAGCCTAGAAATGTATTCTCAGGGTTATTATTTTAAATTCTACCTTTGGTCCAAAATTAAGAATGTACTTGACCTAGGATAGGTTCCTAATTGAACCCTCATTATCAGTCTAGCTTTTTATTAATCTATCTGTTACATTGCAGCCAAAGTTCATGCATAATGACTACATCATATAAATGAAGTTTCAGTCGATGGTGGACCACACATCAGTAGTGCTATAAAATTATATCATCTAGTCATGTCATAACTATCCCAGTTGTGTCAGTTTGCTCTTTGATAATTGCACTGAGAAATCACCTAAGGATGCATTTCTTAGAAAGTGTCCTGTTATTAAGCTGTTTGGCATTGTCTCTAGCTTTTTAGAGGGTTTTTTGTTGTTGTTGCTTTATTTTGAGACTGGGTGCCGCTACGTAGTTCATATTATTTTTGAACTCAATATACAGTATAGCCCAGGCTGGCCTCCAACCTCTTGGCTGTACTCTGGCCTCAGACTCTCAAATGGTGGGCTTACAGGTGTGCATGGCCACACCTGGCTTTCTGGTTTTGCTTTTTTTCAAAGACTGTTTGTTTCAGCAAATTAAAATTATTTTTATTCTTCCCTTATTCAGCAGTTACAAAAAAGAACTCCTGGGGCTGGGGATTTAGCTCAGTGGTTATGCTGCCTGCCTCGAAAGCGCAAGGACACAAGTTCAATCCCCGGTACAAAAAAAAAACAACAACAAAAAACTGCTGGTACTACAAGCTTGAAGTTCTCTCTCTCTCTTTTTTTTTTTTTTTTTTGGTACCAGGGATCAAACTCAGGTCCTTGTGCTTGCGCAGCAGGTGACAAAACCACTGAGCTAAATCCCTGGCTCTCTCTCTTTGATGTATGTTTTTGCCATGCCATTATGAATTTTTTTATTTGGGTTTCTTTTTGAGACATGGTCTTGCAATATAGTTCAAACTGGCTTTAAATTCACTGTTGTAGACTAGGCTGGCCTCAAACTAGTGGTGATCCTCCTGCTGAGATTACAGGCCTTTGCCATCACAAAGTGAAGTCTCTTAACAGTTTCTAAGAAGAAATTTTTTTAAAAAATCAACAACCTTCCCAAAAAAGACGGAAGGAAATTAATGTAGCACAGCTAAGAAAACTCCCTCAAATCTTCTAAATGCTGTATTCAAAAAAGTTTAAAAGTTGCTACGAAATAGGAATGATCAGAGAATAGAGAACTTAAAAGTAGAAAATATAATCAAAATTAAAATTTAAAAAGGACAAATTGAGCAAATTTAGCAAAGTATGAGAGAAAAACTAAGAATTATCTTTTTAGAAAAAGGAACAGAGGGCAGAGATAAATAATAACATTTTTGAAGACACTTGAGTGCGAATTCTAAAGATTAAAAACAAGAAACAGTTTCCAGAGATGAAGGGAAAAATAAATGATTGAGATTTCTCAACATCAACATATACTAGAAGAGAAGGGAAGGGAGGGGAAGGGAATAAAAAAATGAATTAAGATGTGTGATATACATGTACCAACTCCCCATGATGAATATAATCATGAGGTGGGGGGGAATGGGGTAAAGTAAAATAAAATTTATTTTAAAAACTGTAATCATTATATCCTGCAAACATGTACTAATAAAAATTAAAGTTAAAAAAACCAATGAACAAGATCTTAAAATTCTGAAAGTAATTTTCAGCCTAGACTCCATATACAGTCAAGTAAAATACTGTACATAAGCACAGATCATTAACAGTAAATCTCACTGAATTTTTGCAAAATGAATCTGTCTGTAAATAGCATCTAGGTCAATATGCAGAGTTTTATCAGAAGCCCTTTATACTTTTCTAGTTACTTCTCTGTCTCTGACCCTACTCTACCAAAAGTATTGGTATTCTGACTTTTAGCTCCTTAGGTTGAATTTTGCCCATTTTTGAGGTTAATACAAAAGGAATCATTCAACACATTCTCTTAGATCTAGTTTCTGTCAGTCAATGTTGAATTTATATGTTGTTGCATATAATTATAGGGTTTTTTGTCACTATATAGCAGCAGTTCTCAAGCCTTTTTGGTCAGTATTCCTTAGTCTCTTAAAAATCATTGAGGTGGGTGTGGTGGCTAATGCAGGAGGATTGCTGGGAGTTCAGGACCAGCCTGAACTATACATAGGGCAAGACCCTGTCTCAAAAATTAAGCAGTGGGAGGGCCGGGGATTTAACTCAGTGGTTTCGCAGCCTGCTGCGCAAGCGCAAGGACCCGAGTTCGAACTCTGGTACCAAAAAAAAAAAAAAAAGCAGTGGGAGAGGTAGGGGAAAGGAAAGAAGGGAATGGAATTAATGTGAGAAAATGAAAACAATGGAAACAGAGTCTTTGTGAATAGGGAGGAGTTGAGGGGTTGAAGGGAGGGCAGGGGAATGGGGAAAAAAAATAAGAACCAAGATAGAGTATGTAATAATGCAGATTCCAAATGATGAATGTCATTATATTATATACCTAAGGCCCGGGGATTTAGCTCAGTGGTTCCGGCACCTGCCGCGCAAATGCAAGGTCCCGAGTTCAATCCCCAGTACCAAAAACAAAAACAAACAAAAAAACCAAAAATATTATATACCTAAAATGTACCAATAAAATTAATGATATTAAAAAAATAATAAGCAAACAGGGCTGGGGATTTAGCTCAGTGGTGCCACCGCCTGCCTTGCAAGCACAAGGTCCTGAGTTTGATCCACATAAAATTATTGGGGCCCCTAAAAAGCGATATGTTTGTGTAGACTCTTGAATAGATATTTACCATTTTAGAAATTATAACTGAGGAATTGTTAAAGCACAGGAGTATATGAGTATTTTTGTTGGGTATATACCTAGAAATGAGAGCCAGGTGTGGTACACACCTGTAATCCCAGCACTGGGGAGGCTGAGGAAAGAGGATCGAGGTAAGTTCAAGACCAGGCTGGGCTACACAGTGAGCCTGAACTACAAAGGGAGACCCTGCCTCAAAAAACAAAAAAAAAAAAAAAAGAAAAGAAATGAAAATTGCTGGGTCATCAGAGTGGTGACTTGAGGAATTTCTAAGAAATTCTGGTGATAATTGTCGTAGAAAGTTGGAAGTGTCTGTCTCTAGAACTCAAGAAAAAGACCAAAATAATATATGATAATTTGGGAATCGTCATTATATAGTTGGTAGTGGCACCAAAAAATGTGAATAACATTGTCCAGAACAGAGTGAGTTGCATTAAAAAAAAAGACCAAGAACTAAACATAGGGAGACATCAACATTTATCTCAGAAAAAAAGGGAAAAGGAGTGGCTGAGACTTGGGAGAAGTTATCTTTAGAAAGATTGTGTAAAACATACTGGAAAGTGTAAAATGGCTTTGTTGTGTAACCTGTTGGCTGTGAAGATTGATTTTATGAGCTCATCCTTGTATCAGGTGTTGCTGTAGACATGGGAAATGAAGTATAGCATAGAGAAACAAAAACATTTCTACTAAAGATTGGGAGATGCTTGGATATACAGTATTTATATGTAGTGACTAGTGATTTTATATATATATACATATACATATATGTAGTGATGGGGAGTGACTGCTCCTAGCATTAGGGATATAGTGAGATGCTATTTATATAGAGTAGATGTGGAGAATTTGGAGACATGGAAAGGCAGGACAAGGACATTTTTCTTCTTTCCTCTGGTGAGCTCCTACCCATTTCTGAAGATCCAGCTTGTGTGTGAAGCCTTTTCAGATAATAAATTTTGTTGGAGTTATTTGTGAGCTTTTTGTTTGCCCTTTAAATAGCTCTGAGACCCTTTCCACTAACTTTTAGATCCAACAAGGTCTGACATTCTGACTTGCTGAAAACTGAGATGTTTCAGGAATATGTAATGCCTGTTTGTGTCTTTATAGGATAATGAGTTTTAACTGTTTAGAGGGTATCAAATCATTTAAAAGTGTAATTATGGAAATTTGAAATTGATAAAGGTTTCAAAATCTAATTTTGCTTATCTAATTGCTTTGAATAGCCATTCTACAGATTTTGAAGTACACCGAAACTGGCTTGCTATTACTCACAGTTTGCCATTATCACAATGGTATTATGAGGTAAGTTTTCATTTTCATCTTTTAAATTTTTTTAGATAATGTATAAAACCACATAAATATTATTGGTTAAAATAGGTTTGAGGGCTGGGGGATAGCTCAGCAGCAGAGTGCTTACCTAGTGTGTACAAGGCCCTGGGTTTGATTATCAACACCAGAAATTCCATATAGTCACAGACATAATTAATTTTTATAGACAGACATGGTGGCACACACCTATAATCTCAGTACTTAGGAGGCTGAGGTAGGAGGATCACCATGAGTTCGAGGTCAGCCTGGGCTACATAGTGAGCCTAAGACCAGCCTAAACTACATAGTGAGACCCTCTCTGCAAAACAAAACACTAATCTTTATAAAAAGTTATGTGCTAAACCAGGTGTGGTAAAACATGCTTGGAATGTCAGCACTTTGAAGGCTGAGGCAAGATCGTGAGTTCAAGGCCAGCCCAGGCTACAGTAGGGAGTTATAGGCCAGCCTGGACTATCTAGTGAGACTTTTGTCTACAAAAAAGAGTTTTGTTCTTTTCTCAATTCTGTCCTCTGGGGCTTTCTTTCAATAAATAATGAATGCATTCATCGTGGGGAATAGGTACATATACGTAACTCATCTTAATCCTTTGTCCTCTATCGCTTTCAAAATGAGTTTACCAACCAGGCACAGTGGCTCATATCTATAATTCTAGTTTCTTGAGAAGCTTGGCAAGAGTATCACAAGTGTGTAGCCATCCTGGACAGTTTAGTGAGACCCTGTCTCAAAAATAAAATAGAGGGCCAGGGATTTAGCTCAGTGGTTCCAGTGCCTGCCTTGCAAGCACAAGGTCCCGAGTTCGATCCCCAGTACCAAAAAATAAACAAACAAATAAATAAATAAATAAAATAGAAAAGGCTGGAGGTGTAATTCAGTGGCTGAGTGCTTGCCTAGCATGTGTGCAGCCCTGGGCTCAGTCCCAAGGGTTACCAAAGTTTCCCAAGCTATAAATTCAGAATTATAATATCAGCTGTTTTTGAAGGAATACTGGACTGAGAAAGAAGAAAAATTGAATTCTGGGCCAGGGTCTCCCACTAACTATATTGTCAGAGACAAGATAGTTCATCTTTCTAGGCTAAGGCCTCATTTGGCACATGAGGATTTAAAATGAATCATTTCTAAGATCCTATCTATTCCTTATATTTTATAATTTTATTAGGAAAAGTATCAAATATTATATAATATACAAAACATTCTCTCCCATTATTTATAAAAACCCTAAATTATATGTGATACTTGATGAAAAACAGACATAACCTCAGAAATGTCGTAATCAAAAGCAGTACTTTGGGGCCAGGGATTTAGCTCAGTGGTTCCGCCGCCTGCCTTGCAAGTGCAAGGACCCGAGTTCGATCCCTGGTACCAAAAAAAAAAAAAAAAAGCAGTACTTTGCTGTCAGAAAGATACTTTTTTTTCTTCTTGTTTTTTTTGAGGGGGTGGGGGATACTGGGGATCGAACTTGAAGTCCCCAGCCCAGAAAGATATTTTTTTTAAGGCAAGTTTTCTGTGAGTTGTTGCCTTTTGGCAAACTTTATGTATTTTTTAGTGAAGTTACAATAGTCTTTTATGCTGAAAAAGCCTAAGAACAATTGTCCTAGGTGACTAGGTTTATTTTCACATACTACTTCTATAGATATTTCATAGACCATTGAGGAACTTTAAGTGATTGCTTTAGTGTATAGTATTTCAGTTTTGACGTATGGTTACCTCTAAGAGGAGTAATGTTTGGCCTAGAAGTGAAGCACTTGCCCTGGGTTTGACTTTAGTCTCTGTACCACTTTTTTTTTGGTACTGGGGATCAAACTTGGGTCCTTGCGCTTGCGAGGCAGGCGCCGGAACCACTGAGCTAAATCCCTGGCCCTAGTACTTTTTTTTTTTAAACAGGGTCTTGATGTGTAATCCAGGCTGGCCTCAAACTTTCTGTGATCCTTCTGCCTCAGTGTACTGGGATTACAAGCATGTGCCACCACTCTCCTGGTTTAGCCTCTGCTACTTATTATGCTGGGCAAGGTATTTGACCTCTCAAAGCCTTAATGTCCCCAATTATGAAATGATAATGATTATAAGAGGAAATGACTGAAACAAATCTGAAGGGTTTAGCTCAGTGCTTGGCACAACAGTGCTCAGTAAACATTAATTAATTAATAAATGACCCTCAGACTATAAATGAAAGGGCTGTCTTGCCATTTCCCTTTTTTCTGTTCCTTCTTAGTCTCCTCTAATTCTTCTTCATCTGCATACTCCTTAAAAAGCTGACTCTCAATTTCCAATGATGAATGTCATTATATTGTATACCTAAAATGTACCGATAAAATTAAATTTTAAAAAAAAAGCTGACTCTGGGGTTCTGTTTGTGTCTTTTTCTTCTTTATATCGATAATTCTTTGGGGATTTCGTCTCCTAACTTTCACAACTGCCTATCTATCATCTTAGTACTCCTAAAGCCATATTCGTGCCATGTATCTCCTCTATTTTAGATAGAAGAGGTTTATATAACTGACTGTAGTAATAGTACACTTTTTCTTCCTGCCAACAAGGAACAGAAACCAAGAAGTAAAACTAAATGATTTGGCAAGGAGGCTCACAGTAGGAGATAAGGCTGGAGAGGTATGTTCGGCCCGTCAGGAAAGGTCCTCATGCCACCCCAGAACGGTAGACATGGAGTTAATTGCTTTTGTGGAGCCCTCCTTTGCTGTGACTTCACCTTTCCTATCTGGCCTCAAATTGCGATCGACTGGTTGGGAAAGACACTAGAAAGATCCTTAATATTTGTTGAATGAATGCATTTGTCTTGAATCTTCACATGTACAGGTTGAATTTTCAGTATTTGAAGAAAGCTGTGTTGTGTTAGCTTTTGTTTTGTTTTGTTTTGCTTTGGTTTTTCTGTTTTTTGTTTTTGAGACAGGGTCTCTCTTTGTAGTTTAGGCTTGCAATGAACTCACTATGTAGCCCAGTCTGGCCTTGAACTCTCAGCGATCCTCCTGCCTCTGCCTCCCGAGTGTTGGGATTACAGGTGTGTGCCACCATGCCCAGCCTTAAGCTTCTTGAGCTAATGGATTTGAACTCTATAATAGAGTCCCAGATTTAAGTCTCATCTCCAGCACCTCTTAGCTAATGACCAATAGCTATACTGACTTCTCAGAAGCTGTTTAGATAAAAGATGGGCACAGTGACACATACCTGTAATTCCAGCACTTGGGAGACTGAGGCAGGAAGAGTTTCAGGCCAGTATGGACTACATAACAAGACCCTGTTTCAAAAAACAAAAAAAGGTGGCCTCCAGGTAGAAACCTTTGAGGGTAAGAGGACCTTCTGGGCCTAGTTCAAGAAGTTTTTGTGAGGAATAAAGGTGGTACACAGCTTCTGAGTAGTGTGAGATGATTGGGGACAGCAAAGGAAGCACAAGGACACTTTATTTTGAAAATATTACCGTCTCTCAGATAGCGCCCCAAGTCTTCTGATGCTTCCCATTACCCATTTTTAAACAATGTAACTATGAGCCAGGTGTGGTGTCGCATGCCTGCAATCCCAGCATTCTGGGAGGCTGAGGCAGGAAGATTGAAAGTTCAAGCCCAGCCTGAGTAACAGCAACTTTGTGTGACCTGGCCACAAAAACAGAAAAAGTGAGCAGAAGACTGGAGATTTAGTTCTGTGCATTGGCTCTAGGTTCAGTCTCCAGTGCCACCAAAAAAAAAAAAAAAAAAAAGATACAATGTCAATAAAATAAGATTGGAAAAACCTTTAGACCTAACAATAAAATAAATGGCTCTTAAAGGGTAAATTGAGCTCTGACATTTGAAATTGTGGCTGAAAATTGCAAATGTTAATTAAGTCCAAATTGATACTGAATTTCTTAGGATTACATGAATAGTAATTTCTAAATTTTTTATTGCCCATATCTAGCAAGAAGTCCTTTTTGACCATTTCTTATATAATATCTTATAAGTTATAAAAATACTGCTCCATTAATATACTATTAAAATAGAAATTTTGAAAGGGTGAGATTAAAAAATAGAATTTCTAATTTTTCTTTGCACAGTTCAGCGGCCTAATATGATTATAGTCCACTTCGGAGATCTGGTATTAGAGAGGGAATTTTTCATAAAATAGAACTTAATGGGGGTTTCATAGCCCAAGTGCCCTGACAGAAAGCCTTTGGGTTTGCCTCAGCCCATCTAAGTCTTCTACATTTTATTCCCACAGGAGGAATGAACAGGCTAAGACTTCTCAGAATCTAAAATTGAGTGTCATTCATTGTAAATTTTCATTTTTTCATTAGTGACTGTTCACTCATTTAACTAATGGTTCCTTAATAATTAACAATGTATCCAGCACTTAATTTAGGATACAGTGACAAAGGATGCTTTTTGTTCTCAAGGATCCCAGAACCTAGTGAAACAAAAGATAAGTAGCATTTTTATTACATTTCATTGTACATAAATATATTTCATATGAATTACTTCATTTAATCTTTATGTCTCATTTTACAAGGAGGAGAATTTAGTCTCTCAAACAGAACTTGAACCCAAGCTAATAAATCATTTGTTACTCTGAAGCTCCCTGTTTTTTTGTAATACCTAGATGAGTAGAATCATGTCATAACCAACTTTATTATTACAAGGTTTCAGATTAGCTGGGCATGGTGGCACACACACACCTGTAATCCTAGCACCTGGGAGGCTGAAGCAGGAGGATCTCTGAATTTGAGGCCAGCCTAGGCTACATAGTGAGACCCTGTCTCAAAAATAAAAGAAAAAATCTCAGATTAGTTTCCTTTGTTTTGTTTTGTTTTTTTTGGTCCCAGGGATTGAACTTGGGTCCTTGTGCTTGCAGGGCAGGCAGTGGAACCACTGAGCTAAATCCCCAGCCTAGATTAGTTTCCTTTCAAGTATGTTTGACTCAATTTAAGGAAACTGAAGATCATATGAAATAACTTGGAAGACAAGTTTTAGTGTTCTGCTCATTCTTACATAGGAATTTCTGTGTATATTTAGGGCATTATTTTAAATGCAATTTCATCTCACTGAAGTTTTTAACAACCACAGGGTGAAAAATTATAAGTCTTTATACCTTCTTTATTCAGCTACTTAGGATATGTTATCTGCAATTTTTATCACAGGCAACCTCAGAGTGGACCTTGGATTACCCACCTTTTTTTGCATGGTTTGAATACGTCCTGTCTCATGTTGCCAAATATTTTGATCAAGAGATGCTTAAAGTCCATAATCTGAACTACTTCAACTCAAGGACCTTACTTTTCCAGAGATTTTCTGTCATCTTTACAGATGTTCTCTTTGTGTATGCTGTCCACGAGTAAGTCTGGAAAATGTCATTTTGTACAGAAGATATTAAGGAAATACAGTATTAAGTAGTATTAAGTCACTATAGTGTTAACTGACTTAGAGGAAACAAAGCTCATATGGCAGCAGATGCTGAAACAATCAAGAACAGCGTTGTGCTTTAAACTGCATGAGTTATTCCAGTGAGTAGTTCAGCAGAATCTTGTGGAAGAAATGGGTATAAGGTGGGGTTACAAAGCGGAGTAGAAGAAGAGATTGTGAATGTTGTGAAAAGAAGTAATTCAAGTAGAGTTCTAGGACCATTTCTCCCACTCAGATATCTGCACATGCTTTTCATTCCTTTGCAGAAGGTCTCCAAAAGTTTTGGTGACCTGCCCTATCCTCTAGGGCACATACACACACACACACATAAAGGCACCCTTGTGCACACATATCCACCATGCTAACCACCAAAGTCTGTTCTAGGATACTCATTCCTGCAACCACCAAGGGCTGCCTTTCATTGTTATTTTTGTATTCTTCATAAAGACTTCATTATTTCATGTTATTTTTATGTTTTTCATTTATTTTACTTTCTTTTAGCACTGGGAATTGAACCCAGGGCTTTGCATATGATAAGTACACACTGCACCCCTGAGCTATAGCACCAGCCCTTGCATGTTTCACTCTGAGGACTGAAATAATGTGTCCCCCCCTCATTTTTCAAAATCCTTATTCTCTGGGCCTGAGTGACTGTTTTTAAGTTTTAGTTTTATGAAATGAGGACTTTGTTTCAGATCAGCATAGCTGAGACATGCAGTGAGCCCTGAGGTCTTTGCCTCTGCTGTACTTTTTTAAGCAACAAGAATGCCAAGGACTGTGTCAGGAATGGCAAATAAAATGTGCCCTAGTGTACTCTGCAATAGCACTGTGATGTGCTAACAAAGATTAAGTTTCTGTTTCATTCCTGATGTGTCACCATAGGTGCTGTAAATGCATTGATGGAAGAAAAGCAAGTAAAGAACTTACAGAAAAGCCAAAGTTCATTCTGTCTGTGTTGCTGCTGTGGAACTTCGGGTTGTTGATTGTGGACCGTATCCTTGATGTGATCCATATACTATTTCTTATTCTGGATATCCTAACTCAAGATGGATTCTTTCTGTAATGATGACAGTTAAATGTGAGCTGCTTTTGAAAATGGGTGTGGAGTAAGTTAGGGAGCTTCCAAAACTACTCTCTGCCCAACTTTTCTGGATTCTGATTATTGGAACACTTTGACCCCTAATAAGTTACTGGTGAAGTGTGAGAACCAGGTAAACCATCAGTAAAACAATATCCTGGTATGTATACTGAGATTTGTTGACTGTCTTTAGAGTAATTTAATATGTATTTTTAATACATATATTAAATGGTTTTATTAACACATTATTCTAAATTTTTAGAATAGGATATGGCTTATCATGGTGTTCCATATGGGAACAGCCTGACCTTCATGCTTTTCTAGGAAAACAAACATGAGAAAGTTTTCTGGTTTTTTTCTTAAGTATAAATTTTAGTTAGAAATTTTTCTGGGATGAGTCTTTTTAAAGAAAACTATGCCAGGCATGCCTGTGATCCAGAACTCTGGGAGGCTGAGGCATGAGGATCGCAAGTTTGAGACCAGCCTGGTAACTTAAACTTAGCCAGACCCTGTTTTAAAAGGAAAAAAAAAAAAGGCAGGGCGGGAGCAGTGCTGCTGGGGATGTAGCTTGGTGCAGAATACCCAGTTCAGTCCCCAGTACCAAAATCAAAAACCCAAAAAACACACATTTATGAGAAGTGCAAACTAGTACTAATATTTTTGTTGTTACCTATTAAAAAAGCATTTGCAAGATATCTCCAAAAAAAATTTTTTTTAAGGTCTGAGGATGGAGCTGAGTGCAAAGGCCCTGGGTTTTAAAAAAAGTTGCAGAGGGCTGGGGATTTAGCTCAGTGGTTCTGCCACCTGCCTTGCAGTCACAAGGTCCCAAGTTCGGTCCCTGGTACCAAAAAAAAAAGGTGCAGGGATCAGGGATTTAGCTCAGTGGTGCTGCCACCTGCCATGTAAGCACAAAGGTCCTGAGTTCGATCCCTGGTACCAAAAAAAAAGTTGCAGTTTCTCTACTTATTCAGCTGCCACAGTTCATTCTGAATTTAGTATCCTCAATTGTCTTTCCTTGACATATGTCCAGATATTCATTTTCAGTACAATGGATTTTTATCTGGAATAATGCTACTCTCCATTGCACGGTTATTTCAGGTAAACATGGAAGTACTTAATTAGACCTGCCCTCCTTAGTATAGTTTTTGGCTTGTAAAGACAACATTGTAATGGGTGATAGGTAAATTTACGTGACTCAGTGTTTAGTTTCCAAGAGCTATAGACATTTTTATTGGATATTTTCCTAAATTCCATGATTTTTTTTGGTACAGGGAATTGAACTCAGGACCTTGAGCTTGTGAAGCAGGCATGGCGCCACTGTGCTGAATCCTTGGCCCTCCATGGTTTCTTTTGACAATAATTTTCATTATTTCACAGATGAGTAAAGTATACTCTTAAGAATTTAGAGTGTGAAACCATAAGCAAGTGAGGTATCTTCATTTACTTCTGTTTTCTTCAATTTCTTTCATCAGTGTTTTATAATTTTCAGTATACAGATCTTTCACTTCCTTGGTTAAATGTATTCCTAGGTATGGCTTATGCTATTCCAAACTGATTGTTTTCTTAATTTTTCAGGTAATTCTTTGTTAGTGTATAAGTGTATAGAAACACAACTGATTTTTTTGTATGTTAATTTTGTATTCTGCAACTTTATTGAATTTATTAATTTTAACAGGTGCTTGGTGGTGTCCTTAGAGTTTTCCATACATAAGATCATGTCATCTGTAAACAAAGACAATGTTACTTATTCCTTTTCAATTTGGATGCCTTTTATTTCTTTTTCTTGGTTAAATTGCCCTATGTAAGACCTTGAGTTTTTTATCGAATAGAAGTGCCAAGAGTTAAAAAAAAAAAGGAAAGAAAAGAATTTAGAGTGTGTTAGTCCTGAATTAAACTTGTGTTTCTGTGTTTGGTTGAGATCATTTCTATAGGAATGGAATCTCCAGCAGTTTTTACAATGTAAGGACCGGATGGTGATGCTTTACCATAAGAAGTTTATAGAATAGTATAATGGAAAATATGAGATTTGGAATCAAAAGATCTGGGTTGAAATCCTAACACTAATAACCTATCTGACTCAGACAGTTACACAAATGTACTGATTGCTTGAGATGAGTTGCATATAATACTGTAATGTCTTACTGAATAACCTTTATAAACATTCTGTGAAATTGTCTCAGTATTGTCCTCCTTTTATTTATTATTTTTTTTGTTTGGTTTTTGGGGGGGGGGGGTTGTGACAGGATCTTGCTATGTATATCAGGCTAGCCTCAAATTCTCAGTGATACTCTTGCCCCAGCCTCCCAAAGTGCTGGGATTGTCCTCCTTTAAAAGAGGAGGAAATAAATTCAGACTTCTGGGCAATTCTTGTATAGACTCAATAAGAATCTCTATGATTAGGGTTTAGAAATCTCCCAAATAATTTTGATACATCACCAGGCTTGAGAACTCTTGACTGAAAGCAAGTCACTGAGCTATTTTAGCCTTAGTTTTCTCATCCATAACATGAAATTTTTTTTTTTTTTTTTTTGGTAAAATGGTGCTACCTATCACAGAGACTTTGGAAAGATCAAATTCAATAATCTATTTTAAAGTTATTTTGTCAACTGTAGAAGCTGAGGGTGTAGCTCAATGGTAGAGCTCTTGCCTAGCATGCATGAGACCCTGGGTTCAACCTCCAGCACTCCGAATAAATAAGGGCCGGGGATTTAGCTAAGTGGTTCCAATGCCTGCCCCGCAGGCACAAGGTCCCGAGTTTGAGCCCCGGTACCAAAAATAAATAAATAAATAATGAAGTTCTTTGTCAGCTATAAATATCTAGATAAATTTTACTCTTTTAACCACAAAAAGCCATATAATGCATAGAGCATAATTAGTGTTCAGTCAATGATTGATGGGTTGTTGTTGAATAAATGAACTCAGATTTTACTGTAGAATCAATCTAGACTTTATCTGGATCTTAAATAAATTACAGAATTAGTGAAGAGAGAACTGGAAGCACCTCAATTTGTTTCCTTTTCCTTATTCCGAAGTCTGCCTATTCCAGACCACACCCTATGAGCCAGTGAGAAAAGAAACTTGGCCTTTTGTGGTCCCTTTGGCAGTTTCCCTTGCTGAATGCCAGGACCATTACCACATTTGATCTTTCCAAAATTCTGTGCAGTAGGTAGAATTCACTTCTTCAGTGATAGTTAACTCAGGCTTTTGGGTTTTATGTTTCTCAATCAAAATACCTTTACTTCTCCTACGTTGTTTGTTAAGATCAAGTGCTATACCCTATGCCATTATTAAATAATTACCTAGTGTGTAATACAAAAGATCTGGCCAAGTGCAGTAGTATGTGCATATAGTCCCAGCTCCCTAGGGAGAATAGTATGTTGGTACTGATTGTATAGCTTTTATCTCAGCATCAGGCTTACTATTTAATAAATATTTGTTGAAATAAAGAATTGTGTTCTTACATTGCCTGCAGAATATATCTTTACCTTTTTATGTTTTTTTTTAAGTGGTGGTATTTTTGTAGTACTGGGGATTAAACCTGGGGCCATCACACTGAGCTACATCCCCAGCCCTTTTTAGTTTTTATTTTGAGACAGGGTCTTGCTAAGTGGCTAACTTGACCAGATTGGGCTCAAACTTGCAGTCATCCTTCCTCAGCCTCCAAGAGTACTGAAATTATAGAAATGTGCCACTATACCAAATTTACCTTGAATTTTTAAAACTTTTTATTATCCATGCCTGTAGTCTCAGCTAGGGGACTAAAGCAAGAAGATTGCTTGAGCTTAGGAGTTCAAGGCCTAGACAGCATAGCAAAACTATCTTCAGGGGGAAAAATTTATATTTCTACTTTCTAATAAAAATGTTCGAGAGGGCTGGGGATTTGCTCAGTGGTGCTGCCACCTGCCTCACAAGCGCAAGGTCCCGAATTCGATCTCTGGTACCAAAAAAAAAATGTTCAAGAATAATTTTAGCTTTATTGAAAAATTGCAGTAGTTTAGAGTTCCTGTACCCTCCTCACCCACTTTCCCTTAATGTTACATCATACGTAACCATTCATCAAAACTAAAAAACAAAACTATAAAAAAACGTTGGTTCATTTAAATTTTACCAGTTTTTCCACTAAGTCCATTTTCTGTTCCAGAATACTATACTATTGCATTTCATTTATCTTGAATTTTAACACGTTCCTGCTGGCTTGAAACACTGGTAGTACCTCCATGACTGTCCCATCCACTGGCTTGTACCACAAATAGTACAGATGGATCTAATCATTTTTATCAGTCTATTTACTAATAAAATTAATAAAAAGCTGCCCAATGGGACAGTCATGCAGGTATCACCAGTGGTTCAAGCCACTCAGCAACAAGACATATGAATTATGACCCCATTGTGAACATGTTAAAGTGACATCTTTTCTCTTCAATCTCCTAGAAAAGGCATATGGAAGGAGCATTTCTCTTTGCTGTTCTCCTACATTTCAAGCACATCTACATCTATGTAGCACCAGCTTATGGTATATATCTGCTACGATCTTACTGTTTTACTGCAAGCAAACCAGGCAAGTTTCATGATAGCAAATCATTTTTTTCTTTCTTAATCATATTGACTCAGTGGCTTACTTGATAAGATTAAGCACAATAGATATCTCAGTTATTAATCCTGTGAACCCTTTACTCATCCTGACTTTTCTATATTTGTCACATTATTAAGATAAATTAATGTACTATTGGAGGATACTGTTGGGGGTTACTTCTCCGTGCTCCTGGCTAATGATAATGTTCCCTTTCTGTAGATGGGTCTGTCCGATGGAACAGTTTCAGCTTCATTCGTGTTTTTTCCCTGGGACTGATTGTTTTCCTAGTTTCTGCACTTTCATTGGGTCCTTTCTTAGCTTTGGTAAGCTTTTTTCTTTTTACTTTCTTTTATTTTGTTTTTGTTTTTGGTTTTTTTTTGGTACTAGGGATTGAACTCGGGACCTTTTGCTTGCGAGAAGGCAGCGGAACCACTGAGCTAAATCCCCAGCCCCTTTTTATTTTCTTTTAAACAAAGTCATACATCGTTTTTATTGCATAGAAAGATTATTTAAGCCAGGAAGGTATGAAATAAGTAAAAGCCACTCCTTTCTTATGCCTACCCAATATGACTATGGCTCTCCAAAGATAGGGTATTCTTTCATTTTTGTGCATACTCAGATACGTATGTGTTAGCTATATATTACACACAGAGACATACAGAATTGATCCTTATTTGTGGCTTCTGTATTTCCAAATTCACCTATTTACAGGGCTGGGGATTTGCCTCAGTGTTTCTGCTGCCTTCCTTACAAGCGCAAGGACCAGAGTTTGATTCCCAGTACCGGGAAAAAAAAAAAAAAAATCACCTACTTGCTAACATTTATTTATAATCCACAGAATTAATACTTTTGCAGCCTTTCGTGGATAGCCAACTTCCCAAAGTACCTAGAACATAACAGATGTTCAAATGTTTTTTTTCTTGCCCCCCCAAATCAGTTTTAATTTCTGCTGAAACTGAAAAGCACCACATTTTTGTAGTCTCCCTGCTTTCCCTTTCATCGAGTAGACTTGGATGAGCACCATTCTGTGTTCTCCTTTGCACATCATAAATTCTCCCATTAATTATACTTGCTTCGTAATGGTATGGATTGGTATTCATAGTATTTTCATATGGCCTGTTGAAAAGGTGAGACAGAAAGAGATGTATGAACTGCTGGAGATCACGTAACCATTTACCTAAAGGAACAAAGATTGGAGCCCAGACCGTATAACTTTCTATACAGATAACATAGACTGTTTTCCAGCCTATTTTTGAGTTGGAAAAGATTGATGACTGTTTAATCAGTTTCATTTCTCTTTTCAACAGAACCAGCTGCCTCAAGTCTTTTCCCGACTCTTTCCTTTCAAGAGGGGCCTCTGCCATGCGTACTGGGCTCCAAACTTCTGGGCTTTGTACAATGCTGTGGACAAAGTGCTATCCATCATTGGTATAGTAGCAAGCCTTTTCACTTAGACTGAATATTGAAAGGACTAGTCACATTGAGAAATGAAAAAACCTGCTTGTGTTTTAAATGTGGTGAATTGTTTGTTGGGAGGTCTGCATTTCAGCTTTCAGGATGAACAGAGAGCAGTTCTTGGGACTGAGGCATTAGCGCAGTAAACAGACTACCTCCCTTACAAAAGCTCCTTGTGGCAGCAAGATTCTGGATATTCTCTTTGGAGGAAAAATAAAGTAAATAGATAATCTTTAGTTTCTTTCTTTTTAATTTTTTTAATAAATTTTATTTTATCCCAATACCCCCATAATCCCCCTCCCCTCACTTAATTTTTTTAAAGGTAATTTTTGCCTTAAGTGAAACATTATTCAGCAGAATTAGCCCCACTTTTAAACTTAAATATATGGAGAAAGTGTAAGTTGTAACTGTGGTTATTAAACCAGTAAGGAAAATTATAACCATTCATTTCAGCATGAGATGTAAAGAAATGAAAAGCCTAGGCTATGCTTTTTTGTGTGTGTGTTTTGTTTTGTTTTGGTTTGGTTTGGTTTGTTTTTTTGAGTTAGAGTCTCACTATGTAGCCCAGGCTGTCCTTGAACTCATAGTGATCCTCCTGCCTCAGCCTTCCCAGTGCTGGGATTACAGGTGTGTGCCACCATGCCTGGGTAGGCTATGCTTTTTTAAATGCCTGTTCTCAAATTTTTGGGCTCTTACGATCCTCCTCCTCAGCCTTCCAAGTTCTGTGACTATAGGCATATGCCACTATAGTCTATGTGGTTTGTTGTTTTGAGACAGGGTCTCAGACTATGTAGTTCGGGCTGGCCTTGAACCTACTGTTTAGCCCAGGCTGGCCTTGAACTCACAAAGATCCTCCTGCCTTAGCCTCCCAATTGCTAGGATTACAGGCGTGCACCACCATGCCCTGCTTTAGGCTATGCTTTTTATGTTTGGGTTGTAATGAAAAATAATGTGTGCCTTGAGATTGGTCTATTAAAAGTAACTCACTGAGAAATAACTCAGTCTCTCTTTTGTGAATCCAGCCTTGCATAGTGGAAAAAAACAAAGCCAAGAGCAGTGATCAGCAAACTTTTTCTGTAACAGGCCAGGTACTTTGAGGTATTTGAAGCTATGTAGGCCACACACACAGTGTTTGTTATTTGTTATTGTTTTATTTTGTTTTGGTTTTGGTTTTGAGACAGGTTTTGCTGTATAGTTCAGGCTGGCCTTAAACTCACAGTGATCCTCTGCCTCAGCCTCTTGAGTGCTGGTTATATGCATGTGCCACAACACCCAGCAACACATAGTGTTTTTGTTTGGTCCATTGTATGCAAGCCTTTAAAAATGTTAGCTGAAAAAAAAAAAAAGTGTTAGCTGAGCCTGAGGATTTAGCTCAGTGGTTCTGCCACCTGCCTTGCAAGCGCAAGGTCCTGAGTTTGATCCCCGGTACCAAAAAAAAGTGTTAGCTGAGCATGGTGGCACACACCTGTAATCCTAACACTCTGGGAAGTTGAGGAAGAATCATGTTTGAGCCTTAGCTGGCCAATTTAGCAACTTAGATCCTTTTTCAAAATTAAAAAAATTAAAAGGCACATAGCTCACTGTGAAGGCCTAGGTTCAGTCCCCAGTAACACACACACACACACACACACACACATATACACACTAAAAAAGGCAAATATTGTGATGCATACCTGCAGTTCCAGCTACTCAAAAGGCTGAGGCAAGAAGATCTCTTGAGTCAAGGTATTTGAGGCCCCCACCATAGTGAGACCTCCTCTCATGTAAAACTGTAAAAACCTTTAGATTGTTAAATCCTGTAAATGTAAATAGTACTATATTAAATATGTGCACTTGGGAGTGTGCTTTGCTTATACATTTGCAAATAATCAACATATTAAAAGGTACCCTACAGAGGAAAAAACTAAAAACCATTTATAGCTTTATATCGTTGCAAAAACAGATCACAGTCTAGATTTCACCATTGGGTGGCAGTTTGTTGATTGATCTAGATAATGATAACTCGGTGCTGGCTATATGGCATTGCCAAATCATTTGACCCCTCATTATACAGTACTGGGCAGGAGTCTGGTACTTTCTTTGTTCCTACGCAGCATGTTGTAAGAAACAAAAGCAAGAATAGGGAAGCACTAGGTTATCAGTGGCAGGGACCTTGGAGCCAGACAGACCCAGATTCATTCCTACCTATTAGTTCTGACTTTGAGCAAGCTACTTCATATTTCTGTGCCTCAGGGGGCTGAAAGTAAAGGCTACAAAGTCCTTGGTTATGGGAAATTATAATTTGGTATTATCCCTCAAGTCACTATGAATTCAGCCTTCATGTACATGGCATTATGCAAGTAATTTTGAATATCTGTTTCAAAAAAGCTTTAAACAGCCAACATAGTTTGAGGTGTAAAGGCCACTTGCCTTGTGCAAGTTGAGAAACTGATATACCTTACCTTGTGTATCTGCCTCTCAAAGATTTCTTACATGGAAAATCAGTGGCAAGTTAGGCAAGTAACTTTTAGGAAAATGGTTGTTAGTTTTAAGAGAGATTCAACAGGCTGATGAGGAAAGGAAATAGGGTGAATAGATAGAAAATATTTTGACAGTCTACATACTTCCCATGTTGCACAGATTTTCAGTGGCATTAGATGGGGCTATAAGGTGCTCAGATTGCCTGTGACTATTCTGTTACCCTGGAACCTATTTGGGATGGGGTTTGTCATTTCAGACTTTGTTCATTTAATAAGCACGAGGTATGATCAAAATGTATAGTGAATGTTTAAGGTTTTTTTCCTCCTCATTGAACTCACTTGTCCCATCATTCTTGCCACTTTCTGAAGTGGTTCTGGATATCCTCTTTTGTGAATATCTTAATGAGGTATAATAAAAATACAGTGAATGCTGCAACCAAGTGCTGCCCAGTGGAAAGGCAGCCTCATGAAAACATTACAGTGTGTCTTCTTCCACCTATTCAGTGGATCTGGGACCATGTCACTTCATGGTCACTTCAAAGAGACCATGAAAGGTGTATGTTTTTAATCAATTCAGGACCTCAAGGCAGGTGTGACAGCACAACTAAAGATACAAATGAGGACTTCCAGAACTGCTTCAGGAAGTGGCAAGAATGGTAGGATGAGTGTGTTTGAAACAAGGGGGAGAATTTTGAGAGGGATTAATGGCAATCTTTTACTGTAATAACTTTTAAAGATTTAAACATTCACTGTATTTTTCAGTCACACCTTGTATTTACTGAACTCCTACATCTTGGGAGTAGAAATGAGCTCATCATTTTCGTCTTTAAGGAACACAGTATAGTAGAGGAAATGAGCCTGTAAACAAAGAATGTAGTCTGAGCACCAGAATAGAAGGCTCACCAGAAAATCAGCTCTTCTTGATTTAGGAGCTTTCTCAGGTGAGTAATTAAAGTAGGGATTAATTTGGCAAAATGAGTAGTCATTCTAGGCAAAGGGAGTAACCTGACCAAAGAGACACAAGTGTTGAGAGTGGAATTTTGAAGACCCACAGTTAGCTCACTGTGGCCAAGACACATTAACAAAGTGGAGATGAGGCTGGAAAGGTAGGAAGGGGCTGGATCATGGAAGACGCTGTATGTTGTTTTTAGGAATATGGACTTTCTCCTATAGAAAACGAAGGATTCAAAGTTGGGACATAGCATGGTCTGCATTTTAAAACATTTGCTTCATTTCAGAGTAAGCAGATTACTGTTCACCCACTGCTTGCTCATAAGGTTAAGCTACACAAATTCCCCATTCCTGCTGGCCATTGTGCTGTACACCTATAATCCCAATACTTGGGAGGCTGAGGTAGGGGGATCAATCACAAGTGTGGCCAGTCTGGGTTGTCTAGCAAGCTCAAGGCCAGCCTGGACTACATAGCAAGACCTTGCCTTAGAACAAAACTAAAAAACAACAACAACAACAAAAACCCATTCCTATGGAAATAGCTACTTTACAATTTTTTTTTTTTTTTTTTTTTGTTATCAGGGATTGAACTCGGGACCTTGTACTTGCAAAGCAGGCAGCGGAACCACTGAGCTAAATCCCTGGCCCTACTTTACAAATTATAATTTTTTTTTTTTTTGGTGGTACTGGGGATTGAACACTGGACCTTGCACTTGTAAGGCAGGCCATGGCACCACTGAGGTAAATCCCCAGCCCCTTGCAAATTATAATCTTAAGGCCAGAGGCATTCTGCCAGAGGTAGGACACTATAGACTTACATGTATGGAATCTTGTTTTAGGCAGCAATAAGCTTTTTTTCAAGGAACTGAATGGTAAAATATGGGAGTCCTATTGATTGATAAAAATAGAATAATATGTCTACTTATTCTGTAGGTTTGGAACTGAAACTTCTTGATCCCAACAAGATCCCCAAGGCCTCGATGACAAGTGGTTTGGTTCAGCAGTTTGAACACACAGTCCTTCCCTCAGTGACTCCCTGGGCAACATTCATCTGCACTCTGATTGCCATATCGGTAAGTTCAGCAGGTAGTACTCACTTCTTGCGTTTCCTCTGCTTTTGTTTTTTGGGGTTTTTTTGGTACTGGGGATCAAACTTCGGTCCTTGGCCTTGTGAGGCAGGCGGCGGAACCACTGAGCTAAATCCCCGGCCCTCCTTTGCTTTTCTATTTGGCATGGTTGGTTGAATTTCAACTTTCAAGCTTTTCCAATACAAGATAAATTTCATAGCTACCATCCTGCAGATTGAATGATTTCCTACCAATTCTTAGAGTAACTTTGAACATGGTAAAGAAGGATTTCCAGTAAAGCCTCTGTGAGAGGAATTCTTGCCAATGTTTATTAGCCCATCTGTCTCCCCTGGGGTGAAGAATAAAGAAAAGGCTGGGGGAGCTGGGGATTTAGCTCAGTGGTTCCAGCACTTGCCTCACAAGCAAGCACAAGGTCCTGAGTTTGATCCCCGGTACCAAAAAGAAAAGAAAAGAAAAGAAAAGGCTGGGGGCGAGGAGGCATGGACCATGCTATGGAGAAAGAGGAAATCTTTGTAGCAAAAACACCCAGACTTTGTTTGGTTTTTTTCATCCTTGGTCAAATGATCAGAATTCCAAATTTGTCTAGACAGCATGGATGTTTTGTCATAATGGTGATGAGTTGAGAGTCAGCAGTGGCTCTGTGCATCAGCTGAGAGTCTGCTTTGAGTCATACACTGTTAGAGCCTTCGTTCACACTTGTTAGTGATCATGGTGACCTCAGTTTCATAATAGAATTTTATTGGAATTCAATGTAAACAACTATTGGTAATTACACTCAGCTTTAATTTTGGTTTCTGAATGATCCAACCTATTAGCAAGACACCTGACTCCACTTTACTATGTTGCAGTACTTATATGTAGGTTCTAAGTTCTGCTCATCTACATGTTCACATGGTTTAACTGAGGTAAAAACTTCCTTTCTAAAATCTCAGCCTTGTAAACCACACTTATTGGTACATACATAAAATCCCAGCTACTCAGGAGGCAGGAGGATTATAAGCTCAGCCTAGACAACTTAGTGAGACCTTGTCTCAAAAAATATTATCTCGGCCCTGTAAACTGCATATAGAAGGCAATAGTTTTATTGTAAATTATACTTCAGCCCACAAAACCAGATGTTTATTGGGGCCGGGGATTTAGCTCAGTGGTGCCGCTGCCTACCTCGCAAGCGCAAGGTCCTTCGTTTGATCCCTGACACCAGAAAAAAAAAACTAGATATTTATTAACATGGTAAAATCTGATTTATTATCCCAAAAATATCTGTGAGCTTTTCTCTTTGATCTAATGGAGTCAATAGATATTAACTAATTATAAAGATATAATAAGTTATTATGTTGTATGTTCTAGAATAATGAGTTAAATATGCTTCCAAATGCTTGCTTTCTCTTAGTAGTTGCTTTTATGTTAACTTTAGATGGACTTATACAAAGAGTGATAAATTATCCCAATTTACTGGAGAACTGTTGTTTTTACTGCTGTCTAGATCTTTTTTTCAGAAATGATGCTAATTCCCTTTGAACACTGTTTCTCTAAAGCCCGGTTTTAAATGACACTGAAATTTTATTTTTGCCTGTTGTTTCTAGCCCTCTGTTTTCTGTCTCTGGTTTAAACCCCAAGGGCCCAGAGGGTTTCTGCGATGTCTGATTCTTTGTGCCTTGAGCTCCTTCATGTTTGGGTGGCATGTTCATGAAAAAGCCATTCTTCTTGCAATTCTCCCAATGAGGTAAGCAGAGCACAGCCAGTCAGCATTTCTGGCATATTTCACAATGTCTTAGTGTTTTCCATTTTGTTGTGCCTCTTCTTGTCCTGTTCAGTGGGATAGGCAAAGGACCAGAGTCCCACTAGGCAGGACGGGATGCTTAACTTGGGATCTTTGGACCCAGGAAGGTTCTGAGGTTTGTAAAAGTGCAGGTAGTGTTTCTGCATTTTTGGTAAGGGGTAGGGTATTAATTAACTGCCATGATAGGTCTGAATATTGAATGGTAGCATGGCTTGGGGAAAAGCTTTGGCATTGTCACATCCCTGAAAATAAGTTCCTTGTTAAGTATTATTTGTCTAAGTTGGTGGTGAGTTCATTCTAGAGTAACTCCATAATGTTTGTATTGCACTTTAAACTTTCCAGAGTATTTTATTTTTGCTTTTGGATTCTTTTGAGCCTATCAACAACATTTAAGATAATCAGGATTAATCAGTATTGAATCCTCTCTGTCTTAACATCTGCAGAAAGTAGGACTCGGTTTGTGACTTATCCAAAACCACGTAGCTAGCAAGTAGCACTTAGAACTTCAACCTGATCTTAAAAGGCTGAATCTTATGCTCTTTACACTGTGCTATTAAAATTTTTTTTTATCCAGATGTGGTGGCACACAATGTAATCCCAGCAACTCGGGAGACTGAGGCAGGAGAATTTCTGCAAGTTAAAGGCCAGCCTGAGCTAAATAGCAAGTTTAAGGTCATCCTGAACTACACAGTAAGACCTTGTCTCAAAAAACAAATAAAAATTTTAATGTAAAAAAAAAGTTAATGTAGTATGTTTTATGCATAATTCACACTCAGTAGATTGATGGTAATGGGATGACCCTTTTTTCTCGAGGTTTTTCTCAAATTTGAGAGATTATTTAAGCTCTGAAGGACAAAAACATTAAACATATTTCAGATTGGTGTATATTTTCTCTGGTTTTATTTAGCAACATGGTATTTCCAAATTAAAAAGCTGGGCATGATGGCACATGCCTGTAATCCAACATTCAGGAGGCTGAGGCAGGTGGATTTTTGTGAGTTTAAGGTCAGCCTAAACTACACAGCGAGACACTGTCTCAAAAAAAAATAATTGGTTAAAAAGTAGAGCAAAACTTTTAATGTCATTAGTCTGAATTCCTTCTGCAGGTACAGGACATAATCTAAGAGATGAGCTGTAGGGTTGGAAATGAAATTCCAAATTCTGTTTCCCCAGCTGGAACCACTAGGTGCTCCCAGTCAGTCCCACAATATTTATTTCTTTGGAGAAGGCAATTAGGGAAGAAAGATTTGTTTTTGGATATTTCCTGATTTAGTTTGGTACCTCTATCAATCGCTTAGTTTCCTACAAAAAAAATTAATTCTCAATTGCATTAGATTTGTAACACTATCAGTGTTTACTTTATGCTTAAGCTAGTTCTGGGAATAATAATAGATGCAATTTTTTCAAGATCTTTTCAAGTGTTATTTCAGTTGTTTTAAGGAATTATTATAAGAATTTTTATTTTTAGCCTTTTGTCTGTGGAAAAAGCAGGAGATGCTTCAATCTTTCTGATTCTGACCACAACAGGACATTATTCTCTCTTCCCTCTGCTCTTCACAACACCAGGTAAATAGCTTCTTTTTAGAGGGATACGTTTGACTATCATGCCCTTTTCGTCACAGCCTAGAGATGAATACTCACTGACTGAAACAACCCTATAATCTTGTGGAAGGAGAGATCTCATCGGTTCTCTTAAATAAAACCTGCAGTTTACCCCAATGTTATGTATCTTTTAGATGTCACAAAAACAGTTAATGTTGGGGCCGGGGATTTAGCTCAGTGGCACTGCTCTGCCTTGTAAGCGCAAGGTCCTGAATTCGATCCCTGGTACCAAAAACAAGCCAGTTAAGGTCAAAAACATTAATATGTCATTATTATGACACATTATTAACTGTGTCATTGTGCTTACATTACTTTAAATATCATGAATCCTCCACTTATCAGCTAAATTATTATCTGCATTTTTTTTTTGTTCTTTTAACAGAACTTCCCATTAAAATCTTACTCATGTTACTATTCACCATCTATAGTATTTCTTCACTGATGACGCTATTCAGGTAATCAGAAAAGTACATCTAAAATTATGTTTACTCTTGTGAAATGTTTGCTCTTAAATGGTTACTTTTAAGGTTTTTTCATATTTGTTTGTTTGGGTTTTTTTGTATATTGATACTGGGCATGGGACCCCAGACTTTGTGCATGCTAGGCAACCACTCTACCACCGAGGCACGTCTCCAGGCTTTCTTTTTTTGAGACAAGGTTTTGCTGTGTAGTACAGGTTGCCCTTAAACTCACTATGTAGCCTAGGCTGGCCTCAAACTCACAACAGTCCTCCTGCCTCAGCCTCCCTAGCGCTGGATCACAGGCATGCACCACCACACCTGGCTATTCCAGCCTATTTTTAAATTATAATAGTAAAATAACAACATTACAAAATGCTGATAAGAAGAGGGAGAGATTATCCATAATCCTGTCATTTGGGCACAGTACCACAGGTTATGTCTTTGGTTTGGGGAAATATTTAAGGAAGATCACCTACCTTAAATTAATACCTTTACCAGTGAGGTACATACTTATAATCCCAGCCTCTGGGAGGCTGAGACAAGAAATTCAAAAGTTTAAGCCTGCACGAAGGTATTTTTAAGATAAAGCTTCATAATGGCCTATAAACTTTGCATATATATGTAGTTTGATACATACTGTTGCATTTGAAAATCTTGTGTATTGTAACTGGTTTTATACAAAATACTGAATAGTGGCAGTTGTGTAATTACAATTGTAATTAAAAGTATTAACTAAGAAAAAAAAGTTTAAGCCCAGCCTGGACAATTTAGTCACTTAGTGAGACCCTGCCTGAAAATTTAAAAGGGGCTTAGGATGGTTCAGTATTAAGGATCTGGATTCAATTCCCAACACCACACATAAAAAAATGTATGGGAGGGCCAGGGATTTAGCTCAGTGGTTTCGCTGCTGGCTGTGCAAGCACAAGGACCCGAGTTTGATCTCCGGTACCAAAATAAATAAATAAATAAATGTATGGTAGGGCCAGGGATTTAGCTCAGTGGTTTCGCCACCTACTGTGCAAGCGCAAGGACCCGAGTTCGATCCCCGGTACCAAAACCAAAACAAAACGAACAAAAAATGTATGGATAAAATTACATACATAAATACACAAATGGAAAAAACTAAAAGATATTATGTAAAATATGTTATGGAATTGTCAATAGAATTTTTTCTCTTCTAAATTTTATATAATAAGTCTGAGCTGGGCATGGTGGTACTATAGTCCCAGCACTCGGGAGGTTGAGGCAAGAGGATCACTGCGAGTTCGAGGCCAGCCTGGGCTACGTAGTGAGTTCATGGCCAGCCTAAGCTCTATAGTAAGACCCTGTTTTAAAAAACAAAACAAGGGCCAGGAATTTAGCTCAGTGGTGCTGTGGCCTGCTCTGCAAGCGCAAAGGACCCAAGTTTGATCCTTGTTACCATAAAACAAAAGGGCCGGGGATTTAGCTCTGTGACACCACGCCTGCCCCATAAGTGCAAGGTCCTGAGTTCAATCCCTGGTACCAAAACAAAACAAAACAAAAAAAACAAGAAAAAAGTTAAGTCTGTAATATTTTAAAGCTTGTTAATGGTTTATATCTGATTATGTCCATAAAAATTTATATAATTATATTAAAATTCAATTATAACCATGTGATCCAGCAGTTCCACTCTTAGCTATATACCTAAAGGATTGAAAACAAAGAGTTGTACACCAGTGTTCACTGTACCATTATCCGCAATAGCTAAAAGATGGAAACAAGGACCAGGGATTTAGCTCAGTGTTTCTGCCACCTGTCTTGAAAGCGCAAGGTCCTGAGTTTGATCCCTGGTACCAAAAGAAAAGAAAAAAAAGATAGAAACATCCCAAATGTCTACTAACAAAAGAATGGGTAAATGAAATGTGGTATATATTTACAAGAGAATATTATTAAGTCACAGAAAAGAATGACATTTCAATATCTGCTATAACATGGATGAATCTTGAAAACATGTCAAGTGGAAAAGTCAGACACAAAAGGAAAAATATTGTATGATTTTACTTAGATGAAATTCTAGAACAGGCAAATTCCTAGAGATAGAAATGACGCTGTTTGTTTTTTTTTGTACCGGGGATCGAACTCGGGTCCTTGCGCTTGCGCAGCAGGCAGCGAAACCACTGAGCTAAATCCCCAGCCCCTAGAGATAGAAAATAGATTAGAGGTTGGGGGCCAGGGGAATAGTGAGTTATTAATGGTTCCATAGCTTCTGTTTGGGGTCATGAAAATGGTTTGAAAGTGGTTAGTGGTGATAGGTACATATTATTATTATATTTTATGCCACTGAATTAGATACTTTAAAACATGGTTAAAATAGCAAATTTCTCTCTCTCTTTTTTTTTTTTTTTTTTTGGTACTGGGGATCCAACTCGGGTCCTTGTGCTTGCGCAGCAGGTGGCGAAACTACTGAGCTAAATCCCCGGCCCCACAAATTTCTCTTTAAAAATTTTTTTTATTTTATCCCACTTCCCTCCCCTCAAGTCCCCTCCCTTCCCCATGTACAAAAGCTTTATTTCCATTTTTCCTTCTATTTTCCCTCTTTTTCTTGCCTCTTCCTTCCTTTCTCCCTCCCTCTTCCCCTGTTCCCCTTCCCATTTGAACACTTTCTTCCCATTTCCCAGCATCCATTATACATTTTAGTCCTTTTTTCCACATTCAATTTCTCACACCAGAGAAACAATGCAGTATTTAAACATGTGTGTCAAATTTATTTCACTTAGGGGTATGGTATCAAGGTCCACCTGTTTAGCTATAAATGTTGGAGGCTCATTCTTTATGGCTGAGTAGTACTCCATTGTATACAAAAACCATATCTTCTTTATCCACTCATCAGTTGATAGGCATTTGGGCTGTTTTCAAGTTTTAGCTATTACACATTGTGTTGCTATAAACATGGATGTGCATATATCACTGTGATATGATGCTTTTAATTCTTTCGGAAAGATACCAAGAAGAGGTGTAGCTGGGTCAAGTGGAACCTCTAGCTTGCCAAAATAACCCTTAATTTTGTTTAAAAATCCTTAATTATATATGATCATATTCTTATTCTTAATATATTGCTTTCCCTCTTCCAAGTGCAGAGCTAATTTTCCCTGAGTGACAGCACAAATAGAGGATTGGGTGAACCTGGGTTGTTGAGACAGTGCAATTATCAGTTTTTCTGCATGTGAAATTTAATGCAATCTTTTGACTCTAATCTTGCCTATGTCACATCAAGACAGTGCAGTCCAGGGATCTGGCTCAGTGGTTCCACCGCCTGCCTCAAAACCGCAAGGTGTCACAAGTTTGATCCCTTGGTACCAAAAAAAAAAAAGACAGTGCAGGTGGGGAAGCGTCAACAGGAAAGTATTTGATAAACAGGATGACTCATCTAAAATCAGACTTTTCTCTCCATTTTTCTTCAGAAAAGAAAAACCTCTTTTTAATTGGATGGAAACTTTCTACCTCCTTGGCCTGGGACCTTTAGAAGTCTGCTGTGAATTTGTGTTCCCTTTTACCTCCTGGAAGCTGACATACCCCTTCATCCCTTTGTTACTGACCTCAGTGTACTGTGCAGTGGGTGTCATATATGCTTGGTTTAGACTGTATGTTTCGATGTTGACTGGCCCTCCTGTTGGCAAGACAAAGAAGCAATGAATAAAGGAACTGCTTGGATGTAGGCCAAGTAGTTATTTCATGGGAAATTAATCAGAATTTGAAGAAGGTTGCTGGTGGTGTGAGCCATTCATTTCAGCAGGTCTGTTTAGAGGACCATTCTTCCACATTTGGCCTTGCCCAGCCTAGCAACCTGATTGTCACCATGGTGAGAAGCCATTTGCCCTCCTTAAGCAATGAAACACATCTGAAAAAAAAAATCTTGCCTTCCCCTGTTAAAAGTGTCTGATATATTCAGACTGCTCTGTTTACTGAAGGAAAATAGGGAGTCTGATTAACAACATAATTATTTGTAGCCTGTGCTGACTATTGTGAGGATATAAAGCATAGATTCCTAAACTGAAGGAAATATAAATAAAATGCCATTTTGTATTTCTGTATGAAATATTTTTGGGTCATTACCAGCTCTTTCATTTTCCTGTTGGCATACACACAGACAGATGGTGTACTGTTCCCATTCTGTACACCTTGTTCCAGGAGGCTTTTATTTTTCCTTGAAATTATACAATGACAATACTAAACAAAGCCAGGGGGAATGTTTAATGTGCTGCTTTGTCCAGGCAGTAGAGACTACAAATCACAGCTACTTGTATTGAGTTAAGGACACCTTGTACAGCTCATTTATTCTTACAGCAAGCTCTGTTATTTTGATAAGGCTGCCACTTAAACCTTCCCTCATGTGAACAAACCAAAGTGGTTTTTGCAGAGTTGTCTCTTCCTCTCCCTTTTTTGGAAGTACTTCATACATATTTTTTACTCAGGACTTCAGTTTGCCTAATACCTGCTGCGTTTTCAAATTCACCCAGTACTTAGCCAACATCAGAACTTTAACACATTTTATTTTTCCATTATCCCCTAGGGTCATCTGTCTAAGGTCAGTGGTATTTAAGGATGCTAACCCCATTATCCCATCCCTCAAATCAACTCTATCTTCCCAGACTTCTTTTAAGTCTGTTGTTAAAGAGGTCAAGGTGGGAATTATGAACCAGGTATGGTGGTGCACACCTGTAATCCCAGCATTTGGGAAACTGAAGCAGGAGATTGAGTTTGAGGCCAGCCTGGCCTATATAGCTACACCCTGTCTCAAAGGTGAGAAAGAGTAGTCAAAGGGACAGAAGCATCCCTCTTCTAATCTTGCCCCAGTGTCCCCTACTGCTATCTCAGCAATTTAAAATTCTCAGTGTGCCATGCTGTGTTGGACCTCTGCTTTCATTCACTCATTCTACTTCCCTCTCTTCTCTTCTGTTTTTTCTGCCTTGTCACCTGATTATACATACTTCAAGATTCAAGCTGGAGGTGACTCAGTGGTAGAGCATTTGTCTAGTGCTGCACATGCTAGCACTGCTAGCACTAGAAAAAAAAATTCAACCCATGTACTGCCATGCCTGTGAATATAGAAGTAGCTCTGCACAATGATTAAAAAGCCAGGTGTGGTACACATGCCTGCAGTCCTAGCACTCAGGAAGCTGAGACAGGAGGAGCACTATAAGTTCAAGGCCAGCCTGGGCTACATAGTGAGTTCAAGGCCAGCCTATACTACATAGTAAGACCCTGTCTCAAAACAAAACAACAACAAAATGATTAAGAAATAAAGAGACCCTAGAATCATACAGCTTGGTTGGAAATCCTGCCTCCCCCACTTTTTATGGCACTGGGGATCAATTGTATAGCCTGGCTCATGGAAGGCAAGTGTTCTACCACTGAGCTACATTCCCAGCCGCCTTTATTATTTTTTTTTTAACAGGCAACTTATTTAACTGCTTTGTATTAATGTCCTCTTTTCTCAAATAATTGCATAAAGGTTTAAAACACTGGTTAGCTGTTCACTATGTATCAGTTGCTATTTATATGAATCCTTTCCTTTCCCTCTTCTTTCTCTCTGCCCCAGAATCGTGTACCTCTACCAGTTGCTCCCACTGACCCAGGGATTGGTTTCTACCATTAATTGCTATAATACTTACGTGCATCTACCTGTTTTCCACAGGAGAAAACACTTAGCTTAATAGTCCCAGTGTTTTGGCACAGTTGAATGAAGGAAGCCCATTACACAAAGACCATGATTAAACCCCAAACGTTACTAGTACAACCATTAGCAAACACAAAAGAGCAAGGGTAGTTAGTTCCTCACATTTTGGCAGTTGTATCCACAAAAAAAGATGCATCTCAACAAGGCCAAATTTAATTGTTTTGCAGACTTAACTATGAGAGTGATGTGACAGTAGAACTGGAAGAGCTCATCTGGTACAGGGATGTCCAGAATCCCTGCAGAGCACTGGAGGTTTTTTAGATTTGCTTCAGTGGCTCTAGGTTCTGTCCCATCTTCCACCAAAGCAAATATGCTTTAGGCTTCATATTCATTTTCCTTTGACTTTAGGGTTCAAAGATAGTCCTACCATGGTTCAACCCTTTATATGACAGAAAGGAAATGGCTCCACGGACTGAGGAATATCCTGTTGGTACCAAAACAGCCTAGAACCCAGGCTTCCTGCCCACCTACCACTTAGTATTCTTTTCCAAGCACTATATTTTGTATTCATGTATTTAAACTTTGCAGAGTTCTGGGTGTTTTTCAACTACGATTTTCTAGGTTTAGAAGTTAAATGTACTGTTTTAAAATGTTTTGAAATCTAAAACCAAGTCAAGAATAAGATTATCAAATTTTAAATAAGATATACGAACATTTCTTATCTATTGTCTGAGGTATATGCAATGAACCAGATTTTGAGGAGATTTAAAAAAAAAAAAAAGTAGGTAGGGCTTGGCATTCTTCAGGGTATTTTTCCCCAGGTGGAATAGAGCTCGAGCGGGAACCACTAGGAAGATGTACTGTCTTTCCAGCCCAACACTGGTCGATTTTCTTTGTTAATGACTTCCATCTGGAAACTCTGTGAAGGAAACAATATCCGACATGGCTCCCTCTGTGTGGCCCAGGCAGCTTCTGTTTGCAGTTAACAGAGAAAAACACTCCATTAAAATAGGGGCTTTAAAAAAGATGCTTTTCTGCAGCAGTTTGATGACATTCCACTTCCAGCAGGATGATAGTAGGAAGTCTTCTGACCCATCCACCTTTTGTTTGTGCACCAAAGAACAAGCTACTATGCTAATCGCAGCTCAGATTAGAATGATTTTATAAACCTCAAAAACTTGGATCAGTATAGCCACTAGCTTCTCACTGTGAAGTCCCATATGCAGCATTGCCATTTTATAGAAAAGTCAATAATAATACTGATTTTTTTCAAACTCAGGAGTCAGAAATGAAAACAATATACATGTACATATACAAAAGCTCTGAAAAGGACAGGACCTATCATACACCTGTACCAAAAAAAAAGGTACTGACTCCTAGAAAGGTTCTCAGAAGAACCCTCAGCAGTTTTAATTTTAGTTTTCCTGACAATAGACAGCTGATTAAGCGGGATGCGGGGGGAGGAGGGGTTCACCAACTCCATATATACAGCGATTTGTTAAAGTTTTGTTTTGTTTTTTGGTACCAGGGATTGAACTCGGGTCCTTGTGCTTTCAGGGCAGGTGGCAGAACCACTGAGCTAAATACCCGGCCCCCTTGTTTTGTTTTTTGGTACCGGGGATCGAATGCAGGACCTTGAGCTTGCAAGGCAGGCACGGTGCCACTGAGCTAAATCCCTGGCCCTGTTGAAGTATTCTTAATGCTAAATTAATATTTTTCTTCCTTTGACCTTCACCTATTAGTTTCTGGAGCAATGCTTAATGAGATTCCATTCCCATTTACATGACAGCCTCTAGAGTACAAAAGAAGATCCCATATTCCTTATCTTCTGAGTGCCAACTATGTGCCAAGTACCATGCTAGACATTACCTTTATTCCTTCCTAAAACTTTGCAAATCAAATTTATTGCTTAAAATACTGGGCCAGGGATTTAGCTCAGTGGCACCGTGCCTGCCTTGCAAGCTCAAGGTCCTGCGTTCGATCCCCGGTACAAGAAAAAAAAAAATTCTGACCCCCTATTAAGGGGTTAGGCACTGTGTTAGGTGCCAGAGATCAAAAAGTGAACAAGAAAGATATATTCTTGCCCAAAAGAAACTGTTCTAGTAGGTACAGGGTCATAAAAGGCAGGAAAAGAACAAGTTGAAGTTGAGAAAGTAGGCAGGATCCAAATCATGCAGTCTTTCAGATTATTATAAGAAATTAGATTTTATTGTAAGTCAAATGGAACCTAAAATGCTTTCAGATTTTCTGAGTTAGTTTCACATACATAGGGCAAAATTTAAAATGTGCCTAGCCACTCAGTTCAGTCCGCTACCAAGATGCAATCATTGTTACCAGTTTCTTGTGATCATTTCAGAGATATCAAAGATTCTCTATGCATGGACAGTATATGTATACAAATGATAGCATACACAAAAGCTTTATGAGGACACTGAGCCTTAGTTGGCCCATTCAATACATAAACATTTAACAGTTTTAACAAAATCTTTGTAAACATCATTTGAATATGTATTTGCCTAATTGGTGTTCAGAATTTAATCAGCCTTCTAGGGAACATTTTTGGTGGTTTTCATTCTTTTGATATAATTTTAAAAGAAACACTGGCTTAAAAAAAAACTATGGAAAAAAAGCTTTTTCAGGTCATACTAATTCGTTGTATTTTAGAAATATTTTCTAATTTAGTAGTGTATGGGTTGGGCTTCAAATTCCTGTTGTTGTTTTTTTTGTTCGTTTGTTTGTTTGGTACCAGGGATCAAACTCGGGACCTTGCACTTGCGAGGAAAGGTGCCGGAACCACTGAGCTAAATCCCCGGTGAGGACATACTGATTCTATAGGACAGAATCTCAGACGTATAATTACTGGACTAAAGGATGTGAGCTTTTGAAATATTTGCTGCCTTCCAGGAAATTTCCAATACATACTCTCCGGGATCATCTTAACTTGAAATATTACAGATCAGGGAGTGCTTTTTTATAGGCGTAGAAAGGCCATCCTTTATTCTTTTCATGGTGAAGGGGATGCATGCATGCTAAGCAACCGCTTTACACTGAGTACACTCTTACCCCTCATCCTTTAATTGCTCTTAGCTGGTATTTAACTCTTCCACTTAAGAAATCAATACCTTTGATGCATATACCTTTGCATTGACCTCTGGCTTAATTAGCTTTCTGGATAAAATGTTGAATGTCACGGATGAATGGGCACAGCAGGAAGACATTTTATGTCTGTACAGTATTAAGAAAGGCTTTCTGAAGAAAGCTGTTTAAAGTTGGAAGCTCTCCATTATTGGAGATAGAAATTGAGCAAAGACTGGGCAATCACTTGGCAGAATGTTTTCTTTCATTCATCAAACCTTTAAAGAATACTTCTTTCTTCAGCCTTGAGAAAGGACCTGAAGACTCAGAGGTGAAACATTTTAGGGTGCTGCCACCAAAGATGAATTTCAAGAATAGGCCAACCGATGCAGTTCTGGGGTTCTTTGAAGTCTTTGTTGCTGCCTGGACCATAATTTTGGGCTTTGGAGGGTATAGCTGTGCGAATAAACGGCTGGAAACAGAAAAACAGCTTTCATGGGGTTTCAATTAATGATTCCCATTTGTGGGTGCTGAATGCAAAGATGAATCTTTGCTGAAGAGATATTCATGGGCAGGGAAGGGAGATGCAATTCAGTGTGAGGAAATTAGGCCGGAAAAATAATGTCTCCTAGCTTTTGTCCAGTTTAGTTCGTTTGGTGTACCCCATCCGTTGGTACTAGGCTCCCAAACCTTCACTTCCACCAGAAGAATTAGCGCTAGCGGCAGAACAGCCTGGGCTATTTTGTAGGCCGGAACCTCTTGTACTGGGTGCCGGAGAGCACGCACCGGGAAGGATTTGGACGTTACACCGCCGCGCACCTTGTCCTTCAGCCCGGCATTCGGAGAAGAAAGCTTGTATCTTAGGCCCCGCTGGGGTACTGGTGATTTCTCTTGTGGTTCGGGGTCTGAGGCTAGGCCTCAAGTGGAAACGGCGTCACCATGATGGCCGGACGGCCGGGCCGAGTGCCCTTACAGTTCGTACCAGATGAGGCCCGGAATCTCCCTCCGCCCAAGCTGACCGACTCGCGGCTTCTCTACTGCGGCTTCCTGGGCTACTGCTCGGGCTTACTTGATAACGCGTTACGGCGGAGGCCGCCGCTGACTGCGGGTGAGGGTCGCGCGTGCGGGGTCAGCCGGGAGGCGAGGGGTTCGCAGGGCTGCGGGTTGTGGGCTGCTGGCCGCGGGCTGGCTCCCCCTGAGACTCTCCCTCTCAGACCCAGTGCCTCTGTTTTCTGGGCCTTTTCGCCTAGTTCTTCGCGCCTCCCTTCCTCGGGCTGTCCCCCTCCCGCCCCGTTAGCTGTTAAGAATCGGGCAAAGCAAGGTTGTCCTTGTCCATTTAGAGAAACAGGTGCGGTGAAGCGGAGACCTGTTGTAAACCCACGGAGAGACTTGTAAAAGACCCGAGAATTCCGTTTGCGCTCTGATCTGCAAAAGGGAGCGTTCATTCCATGCTGGGTACTACTGACTGACTGTGGTCTTTTTAGTATTTAGTTCTTTAAAAAAAAAACTTTTAAGTAAAAGTATTAGCCGCAAACGAGGAAACAATACCGGAAAGGTTAAAGCAGTTTGCCCTAGACTACAGGCTTGTACGTAGCAGATCCTGTTTATAATTAAGATATGAGTGTGTATTCAAAACCAATGCTTTTGCAGACTTAATGTGCATAAAAGAATAGCCGTCCAGGTGGCACGCTCTCCTGTAACCCCAACACTGGGAGGCTGAGACAGGAGGATCAAGTGTTGGAGTCCAGCCTAGGCAACAGTGAGACCCTGTCTTAAAAACAACAACAGAAAATGTGGTTTTTTAATAAAGTGGAGTACTACTCAGCCATAAAAAATGAGAAATTAGAGACATTTATAGCTAAGTGGATGCACATTGAGGCGATACTCTTAACTGAAATAAATAGGACACACATGTATAAATACCGAATAGTTTCTCTCGTGTGAGAAACTGAAAGTGTAAATAAGGACTAAATGTATAATAGGTAATGTGAAATAGGAAGAAAAGCGGCAAAGGGGAAGTGGGAGGGCTAGGGGAAAGGATAGAAGGGAATGGGATTAATATGAGAAAATGGAAAAATAGGAACAAAATCTTTGTAAATAGGGAGGACTGGAGGGGTTGAAGAGAGGGCTGGGCAAGGGTGAAAAATAAGAACCAAGAGAGACTATGTAAAGGTGCAAATTTCCAATGATGAATGTCATTATATTGTATACCTAAAATGTACCAATGATTAGAATGAATAATCGATAATGCAAAATAGGAAGAAAGGGTCCAAAGGGGTAGGGGTAATGGGAGGGGCAGGGGAAAGGAAAGAAGGGAAAGGAAAAATGCTGAGAAATGGAAAAAATGGAAATAAAGTCTTTGTAAATAGGGAAGGGTGGGCTAGGAATGGGGAAAAAATTTAAAAAATAAATAAATAAAACAACAACAAAAAAAACCCCAACTGTTCACAGACTCCCAGATCTCCCAGTGTGGTCTGGGGGCCACACTTTGAATAGGAGGCTTTCAGCAGCCAATGTGCTGTATTTCCTAGTAATCCGCCACTGGCCTCCTGTCAAAGACCATCTTGATAATAGCTGACACAGTAGTTGTGCTAAGTGCTATGGATTCCAGAAGGAAAAGAAGAGAGGAAGTTTTGAAGAGATGTCTTTGAACTTCGCCTTGGTTATCAGGCAGAACTTAAGAGAAAGAGCTTTCTAGGCCTGTGTGCTAGTGGGAGCAAATGAAGTCAGACGTCTCCAAATGGGCATTTGATGATTGAGTGTACAGGATGGGGTAATAAGGCTACAAAGATTAGGTAGTGGATGGCAGTTTGTTCTGTAGGCAGGCAGGAACCTTATCAGCTTTTGCAAGCTGAGGGAGTGCAGTGATGAGACCTGTGTTCTAAAAGGTTAGCTTTGTCAGCAGTGTGAAACACTGATCAGAGCTGAGGAGTACAGCTAGGAAAAAAGCTAATGAAATAAATGGTTCAGGCTACCAGGGGTCATCTCACTTGTGCTGTGTATGTCAGCTCCCAGCCCAGCTCATCCCAGCATTTCCAGTGTTCAAATAGTATTGAAATCCCATCTCCCTTGGACTGAGCCTTCGGTACAGAAAGGAGTAGTTTTTGTCCATTTCTGCCTCTGAGGATATGAAACTTTTCTCCTTTTTATTACCACTCCATATGTGCCCAAGCCTGTCACTTGGTATCATGAGCTCCACTTAGGAACTTCACTTTGGGCAAGTGAATTGGTGCAGCCATTCAGAGCTAAAGTTTCTTCATCTACAAAATGAGAATAATTAATATTTGCATGTTTGTTGTGAGAGTTGAGGTTCTATAGGTAAAATGCCTGACATACAGAGGCACTGGCTGAAGTTCCTTTCTCTTAGCTCTTGTTATGTAGTTTGCTATATGTTTGTTCAATATTGAGCTTATCTCTGTGCCAGGCACTGGGTTATATACTGACTAGATGGGGTGAGGAATACCATCCCTGCCCTTAAGAAGCAAACAAACAGTCCGTTACTGATCTCAGTGTGATAAGTATGGTTTTGGTGGGGGTTTTTTTGGTACAGGGATTGAACTAGGGACCTTCCACTTGTGAGGCAGGCAGAGGAACCTACTGAGCTAAATCCCCAGCCCAAGATAAGTATACATTTTGATTAGAAGTAGGTGAACAGAGAGTGCTTGGGAGCACAAAAAGAGGTACATCTAGGCCGGGGATTTAGCTCGGTGGCACTGCACCTGCCTTACAGGCGCAAGGTCCTGAGTTTGATCCCCAGTACCAAAAAAAAAAGAAGAAGAAGAAAAGAGGTACAAATGGGAGGAAAGATGTTTCAAGGGAAGTAAAAGTTTGCCAAAATATGGAAGTATATACCACTTAATCTAACCTCATTTTTGTCAGTTTAGCCTTTCCGGGAGACAGAAGAGCAGAGTAGCTAAGGACATTTGCTTTTGGGCTTGATACTACCCTCACCCTTCTAAGCCACTTGAGTCTAGGTAAGTTTTCTAGCTCAAAACCAGAGAAGATAGTGTTTATAAAGCAAAACCCAGGACTAGTTCAGAGTTCCTGAATTTCCTGAACTTCCCTAAATTGCTTTGGAAAATTTAGATGCTGAAGACTTTTGAAATTCTAATCTTTGCAGCATTTATTGAATGCATGTTGTGTTTGTCTGGTCAGTGTCTGGCATATATTAGAATAGAATACAACAGTGGGCCGGGGATTTAGCTCAGTGGTTCCGCCACCTGCCTCACAAGTACAAGGTCCCAAGTTTGATTCCCAGTTCCAAAAAAACACTTGTAATAGAATACAATAAAATAAGTACTTACTGAATGAATAAGTGTAGATAGATTACAAAAAAAGTATAAAACATGGTCCCAACTCTCCAGAGGCTTACAGTCCAGATGGCTGTTCCTATTAAAAACCAAATTGTGGTACAAATCTGTGCTTGTAGGGTAGCAGATGTGACACATAAATGATGTTTGTAAGAAAGGTGTTAGAAGTGAGGAAAGAGATAGACGATGGATTTTTGAACTATAGTCCTAGAGAGTACTAAGCATTCTGCAGATAGTAATGAAATAATAACCACTTGCCAGTCCAATTATTTAAACACAGATGACCAAAAATTGAATATTTTTTGTTAATTTTTATAAGATAATACAACCAGAAATATAAAAATGACAGTTGTATCAAATTTATTCAGTACAAGACACAGCTGGTTGAAATGACACTTGCCCAGGTGATGCTTGATGCTTGGGATAGTCAGTGTGTAAACAAATATGCTGCCCAAGTGATGCTCAGGGTAAACTGTTCAGTGGTTAATGAAATAAAATTATGTATATCTTTTTTAAATTAACAAAAATACTAAATTGGGCTGGGAATTTAGCTCAGTGATGCCACCGCCTGACTCACAAGCACGAGGTCCTGAGTTCAATCCCTGGTACCAAAAAAAAAAAACAAAAAAACCCCAAAAAACAAAACAAACAAACAAAATACTAAATTAATTTTTTTCTTAAGCTTTTTTCCCCAGCACCTGTTTTTTAAATCCTTGTTGCTGGTTACTACTTAGCTGTCCTAAATTTGGAGATAGTTTGTAATCTAAGTATAATCAAAATTACATATTTATTTCTAATGTGATCTATCAGTAATTTATGTTATTATGCAAAGAGAGAAATGACTTCCTTGTTTAGACTCACTGTGTACATGAAAGAAGGGGAAAGTGATAGTAGAGGAAGACCAGCATAGAGAGAAGAGAGGCTAGGAAAATGAGGGCTTATGAAAATGCTAAATCAAGCCAGGCATGGTTGTGCATGCCTGTAATCCCAACACTGGGAGGCTGAGACAGGAGGATTGCAAGTTTGAGGCTAGCCTAGGCAACTTAGAACCCTATCTTTTTTTTTTTTTTTGTATTAAATTCTTTTATTGGTACATTGTAGGTATACAACACAATTACATTTCTCATTGGGAATTGTACCTTTACATAACGGATCTTGGTTCTTATTTTTTCCCCATTCCTAGCCCTCCCTTCATGCCCTCCACCCTTCCCTATTTACAGAGACTTCATTTCCATTTTTTCCATTTCTCATCATTTTTCCTTTCCCTTCTTTCCTTTCCCCTGCCCCTCCCACTATACCTACCCCTTTGGACCTTTTCTTCCCATTTTGCATTATCAATTATTCATTCTAATCATTGGTACATTTTAGGTATACAATATAATGACATTCATCATTGGAAATTTGCACCTTTACATAGTCTCTCTCGGTTCTTATTTTTCATCCTTGCCCAGCCCTCCCTTCAACCCCTCCAGTCCTCCCTGTTTACAAAGATTTTGTTCCTATTTTTCCATTTTCTCATATTAATCCCATTTCCTTCTATCCTTTCCCCTAGCCCTCCCACTTCCTTCCCCTTTGTCCCTTTTCTTCCTATTTCCCATTACGTATTATACATTTTAGTCCTTATTTACACTTTTCAGTTTCTCACACCAGAGAAACTATTTGGTATTTATACATGTGTGTCCTATTTATTTCACTTAAGAGTACCGCCTCAATGTGCATCCACTTAGCTATAAATGTCTCTAATTTCTCATTTTTTATGGCTGAATAGTATTCCATTTTATAAAAACCCCACATTTTCTTTATCCAGTCTCCAGTTGATGGGCATTTGGGCTGTTTCTAAGTTTTAGCTATTACAAACTATGCTGCTATGAACATGGATGCACATATATCACTGTAGTATGATTCTTTTAATTCTTTGGGGAAGATCCCTAGCAGTGGAATAGCAGGGTCAAATGGGACTTCCAGTCCTAGCTCTTTGAGGTATCTCCATACTGATTTCCACAGTGGTTGCACCAGTAGTAGAACCCTATCTTAAAATAATAAATTGATAAAGGGCTACAGATGTAGCTCAGTTGGAAAGCCTTGGGTTTGCTCATCAGTACCAAAAAAAAAAGGCCATGCTGTGCATTTAGGGCTGGGATGTTGACATCATCATCTAAAACTTTTTTTGTGTGTTTGGTACTGGGAATTGAACCCAGGGCCATCACACTAAGCTATATCCCAAGGCCCTTTTTAAAAAATTTTGAGACAAGGCCTTATTAAGTCATGAAGTTGCCCAACTGGGCTCAAATTTGCAATCCTTTCGCCTCAGCCTTCAGAGTACTGAGATTACAGTGTGTGCCGCCCCACCTGGCTCCAAAGTGCTTTTATGCATATGTTGTCTTGGTTTATATATTAATACTGTGAGAAAGATAGGATAAGTATTACCTCTGTTTTAGAGGTAATAAACTGACTAACCCAAGGTCGTTTATTAATAATAAGTATATATTAGATGCTATGTGCTAACATGCAAACATTAATCAAATATTGGCTTTGTCTAATGATAGAAACAGAAATAAATTACCATAGTAACTTATGTAGTAATAAAGAGGAGTTCATCCTTTTAACTCTAGGAAATGGGAAGACTTCTTAGAGGAATTGATATCTGAGTTGAGTCCTGAAGGATGTCTGGGCACAGAAATAACAAGTTCATGGTATTTCAAGCATGAAAGTTTGTGTGAGAAATTCAGGGTTGCTCAGTATTGCTGGAATACAGTGTACATATGAGGAAGTATCAGAAGAGGAAGGTAAAAGTTGCCTCTCGAAGAGCCATATTCAGGAGTTTGAACTCCTTTTTGACAAAATTGAGGGTACTACTACATGATAGGCTTGCATTTTAGTCAAATTCCGAGTGGCAGAGTAAAAGCTAGGATCAGAGTGAAATGACTGGTGTGACAGGTGGACTAGATAGTGCAAATGAGAGAGTGCCCCTAAATCAAGGAAAGGAAATATTTAACTGGTAAAATTGATAGGACTCAGGGACTGGATATGAGAAAAGGAGTTAGAATAAAGGATGGTTAACCAGGTGTGGTGATACATACCTGTAATCCCAGCATGCTAGGAGACTGAGGCAAGAGGATTGTGAATTAGAGCCCAGCCTGGACATTTTTAGGGACTTAGACCCTGTCTCAAAATAAAATATAAAAAGCAGAAGGGCTAGAGATGTCGCTCAGTGTAGAGGCTCTGGATTCAATTCCCAGAACCACCACCACCAACAGCAAAAAAAACAAACAAAAAGAAAAAAACTGATCACTAGCCAGGTACGGTGATACATACCTAGTATCCTAGTGCTTTGGCAGACTGAGGCAGGAGGAGCACAAGTTCAACCCAATCTGGGCAATTTAGTGAGAAAGTGAGACCCTGTCTCAAACATTTTTTTGAAAAAGACTAAAATTTGAATGTGAAGGCCCTAGGTTCAATCCCTAGTAGTAAGGAGGGTGGGGTGATTACTGTGTTTTTGAGTTGGATTCTTTAGTAAATGATCCTGTCACGCTCTGAGATAGGAAGAAGAGGTATAACAAGGAAAGAAATGGGTTGTGTGGAATATCCACATTAATATGTCTGTCGCACATTTGGGGTCTATGTGTTACTCAGCATAACTGTTTGGGTTGGACATATTTATGGATCATCAGCACATGAATAGTAAAGACTATAGCAATAAATGAGTTCCCCACATGACTGACTATATGTGAAAAAAGGTAAGAGGATTACGGGTAGAATCCTGGGACATAGCTAGAAACAAAAATCTGAAGTAAACCTTTTGTAAAAACTTTCCATGTAGCAAGTTCACATGCATGATCTTTCAGACTTTCAATTCGGAGTTACCTAGGCCATGTGATTTGATCCAGTCTCTTTATAATAGGATGACTTTTTTTTTTTTTTAAGGTAACTTGTTGTGCAGGCTGGCTTCAAATGCCTGGGCTCAAGCAGCCTTAAACATCAGCCTCCTGAGAGGCTGGGACTCACCAGCACACAAAACTCCATGCCCAGTTCGAAACAGGATGATTTTTTAAATATAGTTTTTTAATATAGTTTTTGACATGCAAATGGTACAGAATTTAGAAAGTATAAAATAAAATAGAAGAGATATATAGTGTTCATGGATTAGAAGTCTCTTTTA